GGGGTGTTGGGGTCGAAGCTGTCGTTTCTGCAGGCAAAGCTGACCGAAACTGAAAGCCTCTTACGTTGCTGTGATGGGATTGACAGGGTCACAGGAAATCACGTAAACAAAAGATAACCTGGAGATAATTGGGATAAGATTTTTAAGGAGGCTTTAAAATACAGAGGTAGCATATAGAGGGGAAAAGGAGCCTACTCTTACGGGGTCTGGTGCTTATTTTCCTTTTCTGTAAGTTTATGATACTAACTTTGTATACCTTTAGTAGTACTGCTGGGGAGCTCAGGTTCTTCTGTAATTGTCATAAATAAGTAACTTGCTAGATGCTTGGTTTTATTTTGTTTAACAAGCTGTTGAAATTTCAAATACTGAGTGTGAGTAGAGTTTAAAAGCTGACATCAACCCTGGTTTATTGATCTCTGTCTGATAGCGTCAGCAAGACTTCATTAATATTTACACAGCTGTAGTCCTCTGTAGCTCTTGTGAAGACACGACTTACAAAGACTAAACAAAAAGGAAATAATTCTGTCCTCGAATACCCACTGCTTTTCACCTAGGTGATAAGGAAAGAAGGGATCTGAGTTTTATGCACATTGGCTCTAAAAGTTTCAGTTAACTGTTGCTGAATCAAAATAATTTTCTTCATAAAGGTCACTAGCTGAAATACGATTGCTGCTTGTAGGAGCTCAATGTTGTTACAAAGAGAGATTTGGGGGGAAAACCAGAACATTTAAAATGGTTTTTACGACAAATGCACCCTTTTGCTAATAAAATTTGCATGTTGTTGTTTCTTAAAGGTGCTGCAGAATGGCTGGCATTCACAACAATGGCTAGGGAGGTCTGTCTGGTAGGAAAGTGTAGGTTTATGGTTATGACTGTGTACAGTATAATACTGTATGGTTTAGAGATGTTGAAGGATTTCATTTACCGCTACGCAGTATCATATTGCACTGTGTAGATATAAACTCTGCTGAGCAAAGACTTTTGAATAAACTGTGTTTAAACATGTGAGGTTTTTTTTTTTTGTTCTCCATCCTTAGTTGTCAAGATACAGTAAGGTGTGATGAATATGGTTTTGCACTTTGAGGTATATATGGCTAGACTACACTTTTAAACAAAGCTTTAACACCTATTGCAAGTATTCTTGCTTTAGATTTCATGCTGGTATTAGTTTAGATCAGTCCTTGATTGTCTCTGTAGTCTTCACTGATTTTTATCTCTCTTGGCATATCTTTCCAAACACACGTTTCTGAAAGTAATAGGGCACTTCATTATTTGTGGCTTCCAAGCTAAAAAATAGACCTCTCTAGTTGGATGTGTGATCTTTGCCAAATACTTACATTACTTACAACTGGTCTGTGTTGATTTGGGACAGGATCTAGTCCTTTATCAGAAGATTCTTCCTGCCTGCTTGGCTTGCTGTTGCTGTGATAATTTTCTGTTGGCTTTATCTTTTATTACTTTTTAATACGTTTCCTTATGGATATAACTTCATGAGATGAGCTTGGGTCATGTAACAGTCTTAGAGACTGTGAAGGTATGTGTGCCCTAGTTTCCTGCTAAAATAAGGAGGAACCTACTCTTTTTGTGTGTGATTTTTTTTTTGATGTGGTAGGTATTCCTTTGAAACCATACTGCTTTGAAAATTTTGTACTTCTTTATGTTATGCATACCATTTCAGTTTAGAGACTAGACGTTTCATTTTCAGTTTTCATGCATTTGCTTATTCTTTGTGAAGGCTGATCTTCTGCGTCAAGCCCATGCTGCCATTCTGTTTTATTTTTGTGTGGATCTTACACGAATGAGAAAAATTTCCTTCATTAAGAAAAATATGAATATTGTATTTCTTTTTAAGAGCAAGAACTCATAATTTGAAAGCGACTTGGACAAATATGACATCAGGAAATACACATAGAAGGATTTCAATTTGAAAGCAGTCGCATCTGGTTTTTCTTTCTTTTCATCTCTCATGGATAGGACTCACTAGAAAGCCTGGCAAAGGGCTCCCTTTCATATTTACTGAGTGGTGTACATTATGTCTACAGCCTCCAGAGCCTTTATATTTATTTCATGACCATTTTCTAATTTATAAGCGGTATTATCTCTCAGCTTTGTAGGCTGGTATTTGATATGACAGTATTGAATGAAACCTGCAAAACTGGTTGGGAAAAGTGGGGGCAAAAGAGAGTTCAAGGAGGCTGAGGTGGGATCCCTGACACTCAGAAATGTAGACCTCCTCATTTCTGAACCAGGAAATTCCTGTGTGTTTCCATATCAGAAAGTAAGTTCTTCAGCATGGCTAATTTCTGTGTAAATAGAGTTTTATAAATGAAGAACGCATGGAATTGCAGCCCCAACATGCTTTATGCAGGGAGATGTAATTCTTCATGTTATTACTCTTCTAACATCTTTTGGGAATCTTGTCTATGATTTTTCTTGTAATAGTTTTGCTTAAGCGCAGCAGTAGGACTATGTGTTATAGCGATATTACTATCAGGCCGTTTTACTGTAGTAATTGAGTTGTGGAAGCTGTAGGGGAATTAAACTACTATTATTTTTAGTTTAGATAGCATAAAGAAGATGGAGGATAAACAATATCCATATTATAATAATCAATAGTCACTAATAAATAATATTTTAAGAGGTATTTGTTCTAGGTTAATAAAAGCGATAAACATTTAACTTCTGCATCTGAAATTGGCATATATACAGAGCATGAGAGAAAAATTTGCTAATGTTTTCGTTCTTGCTGTCCACCAGCTTCATTTGGAATGAACCCTTTCTGTTCTTGGCACATAAAATAATTGTGAAATAATGGAGTTTTATGAAGAAAGGTATCGTGCAATATAGTCTAGAAGAAATAAGTATCAAGTTTATCTGGGGATAATTCTAGAAAACTAATAGATCTCATAAAAATATCAAGCTGATACACTTAAAAGCGTTTGCGTTTTAGATCTCCTTTTTGATAACAAATTAGCTGGAGGTTGTTAAAACACAGTGGTTTTCCAGAGTGCCAGGAACTAAGGAAGCTAATCCAGGAACTGGCTGGTGCTCTGCGCTCTTACAGTTTGATTTCTGTCACTTTCTTCTGCAAAGGCAGGTAACAGGTCATTGGCAAGAGCAAGGAGTTGATGATCCCAGTCTTGGGTATTTTTAAGTATTTAGGCTTCAGAAGAAACAATTATTTATGATGTGAACTATAAATAATCATTTTACGGGAGTAGCTGTTTTGTTGAATGAATGCTCTTTTGTGTTCAGTCATCAGAGTCTTGGAACCTGGAATTATAAAAGGTCGGCTAAATGTGTCGGGGCAGGATAAGTATTGTGGACTATTCCTGATGATTTGTGTCATCATTTTCCTTCTTTTATTCCTGGGTCTTTTAGATCTCATTAAAGAAGTTTCTAAAAGTAATCACTAATATTTCAGAAATTGCTTTGGCTAATTTCTGAGCTGTTCAAGGTGAATTTCATTGGACACTGTTGTCCTGGGTGCTTATAACTTTTCAGAATTGTCTGTAACCCATTCTGACATCTGTCTCTGTCTTTTCTACCATCTTAAAGTGAAAACACAGAATATATTGTCTCACTCACTCATTGATTTCTTTCCTCTCCTGTTACATCGTGGTACTATCTCTTTGTCTCCTGCTTACTCCTAATACATATGTAGGAATTTTTTTATGCGTGTAAGCTGCAATGCATTTTGTACCGTACCCTTTTTTAACTTACTACTTCATACCTGTACTATTCTGTCATCCTAATACTATGCTACTCTTCTCTGCATCTGCCTTTGTGCCTTCAGTTGGTTATCTTGACAGTTTTTGTGTCGTTCCTTTACTTCTTTGCCTCTCAGTTTCTTGAGTTCGTGGAAACTTTCTAGACCTACTCTGATTTCCTCAGAGGAAGTTCTAACAGTCCTTCACTTCTGTCTGGATTGTCTCTGTTATTAAACTCGGTCCTCCCAGTTGATCAGAAACAAAATAGCTTTTCTTTACTTCCTGAAACAAAGCATATGACTCTTGACTATGTCTTGGGATTTTTAAACTAATGACCTGTATATCTGTTGAAAGAGCAATGTGTCAGGATACAGTCATCCTTTTATAGTCCTATCGCTTGCCTTTACCAGCCAGCCCTGTCCTTGCAATTGCTCAGCAATAGTCTCTACCTTTTTTCTCTTTTGTTTGAATGTCTTGGCATGGCTTCCATTTTTCTTCTCTCTGATATCCACACTACATGTTCAAGAAGTCTGAACTTTAGAACGAGGTGGAGTGCATCACATATATCACACTTTTGGAACAGGTTTACCCTTTTAAAGGAGCGTTCCTGTCTCTTATGTCTCTGCATGTCTATGCATAGCTATGATGCCAGATCTAATATGGGGCACGTAGGAAGACTTGTATTCTTCCTGTTGCAAAAGCACAGCAGGTGTAATGTGAGCAAAGGTCCATACAGTCCGGTAGCTTGTCTAAGGGAAGAATAACAGATGCTTAAAGGAAGAATGGATAAAGTAGATGGTAATGCTTCCCTAACAGACTTTTCCAGCTTTCCGTAAGTCCATGACTGACTTATTTACTATGTTTGCTGTAGTTTATATTCATGGCTGTTTGGTAGGTAGCCCATTATTCTTCCCTACTGTTTTTCTTATAACAATTGCAGTTTCCATTCTAATCTCTTGGTGATTGGTTTGCTTTTTTTTTTTTTTAAATAACTTTATCTTACATTTTCATTAGTCCTCCTTTAGCGGATAGATTAGTAGCTTCTGCCTAGTTTATTCAGAAACAAAAGGAAATCCTGCTAGGAAGCGTCTTTTACTTTCTGTGGTGATGAGAAACTAATACAAACTTTTTTTTCTTAAGCCTGTCTAAAAAAAGATAACTGTAGAGTTGCACTGTTCCTGCCAAGTTTCCACAAGAAGCAGGTTATTACTAAGGAACTGTAAACTGTTGAAAAAAACATTTGTAATGGAAACAGTGATGGTTTAACTGTAGTGCTTGTGGGCACTTTCAAACAGCATAGCTTTTCCATCTCCTGACTTTCAAACTTCCCGAGTACCCATACCTTGCTGCTACGTTGCTTTAGTCATCACTGTGTGTGTGTATGTATATATATGTAGTGGCTTCAGCAATACTGTTGTTCATACTACAAATATGTTGTTCAGGGTGGTTCAACAGAGTGTTGTTTCTAGCCTGATACACAAAACAAGTGTAAACCTAAATCTGTGGCTTCCTTTTTTGTTTTGGTGGCATACACTTCTCAGTGGCATCCAAGTTATGACTGGTGTAGAACACAGTTAAAGAAAAGCTACACTATTTTCACTAGTGGAGCAATAAAAACATCTTGATTTAAGTGAATGGTAGTACATATAAATAGATGCATTTTGAAATCTGTCCAACTTTATAAATCACTTGAATATTTTCAGGTCCCACATCTACGCTATTTCCTGTTATTTTCTTGCATTAGTCATTTTTCCATGTTTCCTTTCTCTCCTCAGTTGTGGGAAAAAGAAGGAAACAACAAAGCTGTCAGAGAATGTGAATGAAGAGAGGTGATCAGCTTTCTATAGTTTGTTCCTGCATAGAAATGAGTTTTAGATAGGAGTATGACCCTTTAGTTTTAGTGCTAGTCCCCAGCTGCAGGCATTCCATAGTGCTCAGTGCTCACTTAGAGTTGTTGAGCACCATCATCTGTCCAAGCTCAAGTCAGCAATCATTTCCCCAACTTCTTAATGATTAACTTTGCAATTTGATTTATTAAAAATGACACTACTAAAAATCTTTGTCGCCTTTATTAAATAAATGCCTTCCTAATGCCTAAATGTTGCAGTACTAGGAAGTGTTGTCACCTAATATGTCTTGTTTTCAGTAACTGTTTCTCAAGCTTGGTTTTTTTTTTTAATGAAAATATGTAGCAGTTTATTTCTGTGTATGTTCCACAATGTGCATCTAAAATCTTTGTGTTTCTCATTTCAGAAGTACTATGGAACCTCCGCAGCCCTGTAGGTTTGGAAGGCTTAAATCCAAGCTTGGAAAGGCTTTTTCCATTCCAAATGATTTGCTGGCTTAAGCGCTTGATTAGGATGGCTTTTGAACAAGTTGGATTAAACATGGAATCAGTAAGTGTTTCAAACTTGCTTCATCTTTTCAGAACATCACATATAGAAAGCACTTTACGTATTTTAGTTTGTGCCTATCTATTCCAGCAGTTTTAAGGGTACTCAATACTTTTATGATTCTGCATTGCTGAAAAAGTACGAAGTTTACTACGTGGACACTGAAGTATTGAATAATGTATGTGTTAAAAATACCATGCAGTTCCTTCTAGCTCTAATAACAAACTATTTACATTGTCAACACTGCTTTTCATGCTGGACTTCTGTGTGTGTTTTGAAAGCTGAAGGAAAATTTTCAACTGATCTTTAACAGTGATATTAATTCTCAAATAATCTTATTTCTTTGCCTTTATCTTGAAGATATGAAAAGCCCCATAAAACTGAGATGATCATGATTGTGCTATATTTACCTCCCCTGAAAGTGTTATAGTACATGAGAGCAACACGACTGTGTTCTTTACTGGGGAAACAGAGGAATATGCATGCATAGCTCTCCTCTTGGAGGAAAGTGCATGTAGAGTTTTATTTGAATGCTTAACAGAGAGAGAGATCTGCTACACATCAACTGCTTTGTCACTGGGACCTTCAGGAAGCTATTTTGAGTAAAGTATTGACCTCAATGCAGTAATCCCTGTAAATTGTCAAAATAATTTAATGTTTTAACAATGGGGAAATACTTAACAGCTATGTGCAGTACTTAGAATGGCAGTTCTTACTCTAGATTATTGTGGTAGAACATTTTATCAATCTTGGGAATTTATGGAGAGCAAATTGTTTTTACATTGTAAATTAAAATTACCAATAAGAATCTGTATTTTAGGATTTTATTCTAACTTGGATCTGAGATTTCCTGCAGTATAACTTTGAATTTTCAAAATATGAGAATATGCTGGACTGCCATGAATGTTTCTGTGGTCATTGTCAGCAACATCTTTCAGCTTAAATAGGGGGGGTGGAAACAAGTTTTTAATGTTTCCCCCCATTCTCTACTTATATCAAGTTTGTGATACTGGAATTACGTTTCCAAATGTCAGCTGTTCTGGCCAACAGCAAAACACTGATGCAATAAGATGGTATGACTAAGTAATATTTTGCAGACTTGCTCTGCCAGTGCTTCGAGTCAACAAGAATCTGTGTGAACTTGGGTAGAGCGGTGCTGAGACTTATTAGCTCAGCTGAGCAGTGTCCTGGCTTTATTTGCATACCTTCTGGCACAGCTTGCATGCAGTTTTCTGAAAATACTGTCCAGGCATATCTTGAACTACCAAAACTGAGTCATTAAAAGTTTTGGCGCACCAAACCGTTGTTGTTGAACAACCCTAAGGGCATTTGGGCACCAAATATTTTTGAGGATCTGGGTGCCAGTCAACATCATCTCTGTGGTCTGAGCAATCTCTAAACAAGTTTTGCCACTTGTTTAAAATGCACTGCACTTATGTTGGTAACACAGCATGTAGTCTAGGCTCTTTTGCTGTTGTGGAAGTACTTCTGTAGTTAATTAAGCCTTCCCCTGACTAGTAGTATTTTTTTCCAGTGCAGCATGGCTTTGAGGCTATCGCCAACAGTTCTGCTTCTAACATCAGAATCCGTTGTGAATAGTGAGGCTGTATTACTGTGGTACTGTTTGTCAGTGAATTTTTCTTGAAGGCTCCTGATCTACCTGCTATTTGCTCAGATATACAGACAAACAGTAATGTGATAGTCACGAATGTGAGGTCCTTGAGGCATCCAAAATGCAGGATCAACAGAGTAGTCTGCATTGAAAAAAATTGTGTTCAAAATTAGTAGCATATTAAACAAGAGAATGTATGTTTCATAGAATGGAAAAAATGGGTCTGAGTGGATTAATGGCAAAGTTGCCGCTCTGATGTGAGGATCTAGCGTAGCATATGTACAGCGCAGCTTTATTTTGTCAAAATTTATACATTCCAAGAAAGCCACAGGAAGGAAGGATACTTGTTCAAAGACAGCCAAAGTGTTTGTGTGGTTTCTGAGATAATACAATGTGGTGATAAATACCATGGAGCATATTTTTTTCGTTTTAATAGAACCTTCAAAATCTGAGTAGTGGTCTTTGCTTAGTATATCAAAATGTTATTCAGCTGTTTGTTGTGAAACTCCCACAGCTGCATTACACTACTCACACAGTAGTGTAATATTGCCATGCTATATGAGGGTTGTTTCGGTATCAACAGCCGGGATTCTAGCTAAGGGTTCTTTGTTGGGCAGCATTCTAACAGGATGCTGAGTTTGCTTGAAGCTGCGACTTTTTAAAAACTAAGATCTGAGTAGTAAATTCATATTTACAACTATAAGTAAACACAGGCCAAGTTTTTTAAATTACCATACTGTGTTCTAACTTTTTGCTAACAGTGCTCTCTGTGCTAGAGTCTTCCCGTTACTCTTTTTCTTCTTTGCATTGTTTTTGTTGTCTTTCCCTGTGCTGAAATCTTTCCTACTTCTCTCTGGTGGTTTTTTTTTTTTTTTTTTTTTTCTTTGCTTCTGTTCTGGCTCATTTTGTAATATTCTTCTAGGATTAAAGTCTCATTTTATTTCATACAACTGTGGTTAAATAGTAGACCAAGCATTCCCATCATTAAGTACAAAAAAAGAAAACAAATTCGATCCCTGTTGACACAACATAGAAGAAATCTGAATCGCAGTAGAAACAGTTCCGATGAAGCCAGGTGTATTGAGGTGGTGCGTGCAATTTTATCGAGGTGAATGTTCTTGATGGTTTATGTTTTTTTAGGACAAAGTTCTGTTCTCATGTATTTATTTGCTCCCTTTTTTTTGGTCTTTAATTTCACAGTTACGTCTTCATGCTTGTGCTAGCTTATAGTTATTTTAATTAAGACTGGTAGGCACTGTTCCTGTGCTAGAAGAGCTCTTAATCAAAAAAGAAAAAACATGTTCTGGGAAATGTAGAATTACGTAACTTTATGGATTTTTTCATGATTGAGTTGCTTTTCTTGAAACACCTTAAAAAGAGGTGTCTGACCCAATGCAGGTTCTCTATTGTTTTGAAAATGGACAAATTACGCTTTTGAAGATGCTTCCAACTCTTGAATCCCTCTGTGTTACCTGATTTATTGCTTTGAATTTAAGCTTAATTCAAAGGCTGTCTTGAACTTAAACAGCCATAGCTATATTGTAATGGCAAAAACAAATTTTGTGCCATTTTGGGTATAGAATGTAAAGAATTCACTGATACAAATTTCAGCGTATTTATATTATATTCTATTCTAACATGAAAGGAATAACTTTAAATACATTTTAGGACAAGCATAGTATGGAAGGGTAAGGAAAAACTATTCCAATATGATGTAAAAATCGGTTACCTAACAGCTGGCTTCTTTTTCCTTCCCATCTAGGTGCTTTGGTCAAGCAAGCCTTATGGTTCATCTCGAAGTATTGTAAGAAAAATTGGTACTAACCTCTCTCTTATACAGTGTCCAAGAGTTCAGTTTCAGGTAGGTGTTCTCAACAGCTTAGAATATGTGCTTCACTATACTGTTAAAGGGATTTGCTCTTGCATCAAAAGATTATAAGCAAATATACACTTTAAATAAATGTCTAGATTTAAATGAATGACTAGAGGGTTTGCAAAACCAGCAAATGATAAAACCAGGCACACAGGAGAACTGGTCTTCTTCAGTTCTTCCCACTTCCAGTTGAGATTTTTCCAAATAAGGATTCTTCAGCTTCTGTACTGCCTAAAACCTAAATCCATGTTGCTGTAATGCACATAATGAAACTTGAAACAATTTTTTTCCTAAGGAAATTGGAACTTCTAAAATGAGACAATGCAGTATTAAAAAGTTATTCTTGGAAAAAAATATATTCATCAAAGAGAAAAATGTTTGAAACATTTCTATAAACAGTACTTATAAGCTAGGCTTAAGAGGCATGTAAAGGTGAACAGTTGCTTTAAAATATTTGGGCAAATAAACAAAATAAACAACCTTATCAGAAAGTAAAAAAATTAGTAACAAGATTAACATGAGTACTCTGTTTGCTTTTGTTTTAAATACAGGGCTAGGACTGTATAGGTGAAAGGGGAACATCAGTTCTGTGCCGTTTTCTGACTTGTTTGCTTTTAACTTCAACTGCATACAGCGGGAGGGTAAAGAGTGAGGGTAAAAGCCTAAGGAGGAGAAAACCCTTGCTTTTTATAACAAGTCTTTCAGGAACAGATGGGAAAATGGAAGCTGTTACACATAATCTTTTCAACTGTGTGTGTGTTAGGGTTAGGGGCTGGGTATAGAATTGGGGAAATTTAGTGTTTGAAACTCAAGCTGAGAGAGGTGTGTTTCTTGGGCCAAGCAAGGGTGGGGAACATAAAGACGAATGGTGGGAATCATCACCCACACTGTAAGACAAGGTAATTGCCACACAGCTAATTTTTTTCACTGTTTAAAATAATTTCTTTATCCTATATGAAATGTATGAACAATATTTAGACTTGAAATTATTATGGCAAAATGGGATAGCCCAGCTTACCACAGAAGCCTTTTTTGGTGTGATAGTAAAAGCCATGCTAACATTTTGCCTCTTAAATAATCGCATTGAGAAATTAGGGGGACAACCATCTCCCACTACTAGTGGCTTGGTGAAACTTAAAAAATAAATATATATGTTGTGGGGATTTGTGCAGGTGAGAAGAACAACAAAATGACATGCTCGATTTAAACTTTTGGGTATATAATTAATAGTACTTATGCCAGCAATAAGGCTCCATGTTCCTCAGATTTGAAAGTAAGTGAAGTCTTCCTGTAATGTGTCTGATTTTCTGTATTGTAAAGGCCATACAAGGGAAGATAATGCTCATTTGCAGATAGCCAAATACTGCCTCCTCTTAATATGGTACATAAAAGAAGACACTTCTGGTTTATGTACTTGCAAAGAGCTGTGAGATACATCTGTGGAATCTGTTCCTGAATATTTTTAGTGTTGAAATAAAAATATGTATATGTCTTCATCTGAATTCTGTGTTAGAATAAATAAAATATTTGCCTTTTTTCCTCTTAAAGAGACATTCAGTCAGCTTTGCCTAGATTTTATGCACACTAAGTATAAACATTCATCTTCTATTAGATGAAAGGAAAGGATTCTAAAAATAGAAGTACAATTGTCAGTTCATTGAATTAGAAATATGAATTTAAAAAATTGGGCCTTGAAACACATTAAAATTTATATGGTTTATGCAGGCTTTAAACTATTTTAAGATATAAACTGCTGAACGTGTAAAAGTATGATGCTAACATCTGTTTTTATGTCTATCTCAGCATCAAGATTCTATAATGAATTTCAACACTGGTCTCAATCGGTTTTATCCTGTTGCAACTGATGCTTTCCTATAGCTGTCTTTTCCTCTTTCTTTCTTTCTTGCCAGCTTTAGCTATATTATGAAAGGACCATGCACTGAACCTTGCTGTAAGTCCCTTTATTTAAAAACCAAAGCAAACCTTACTTGCCTCGTCTGAGGGTGCATGTATATCATCAGTGTTTCTAACTTTATCTAAGAGCAACAAACTTTCCATGTCTTCATTTTCCTTATGATAAATGGCTAAGAGATATTCTTTCAGTATCTCTGTTACGTTCATTCTTTCTTCTCTTCTAGCATGCTTTTGTTCAGCTAATCTGAAAAAAAAAGAGTAGTAGACTAACACTTTAATTTTTGAGGTCTACTGACTGTCGTAGTATCTGTCTCTGAGGATCTTGCCATAGTCAACATTAAATTAATTGCTGAATGCTGCTTATCTATTCAGTAAGTGGTGGCAGAGCTTGCCTTATGTACTCTATATGCATGAACAAATGAAAATGGTTCATGTAGTCCTTTTGTGTGTTGTATTGTTGTTTAGGTTTATCTGTAGTCTTTAGGAGAAAATAAAGTTAAACCTGCCAATATAGTGTAGGTAGATTCAACCAAACCTACAATACTGTCTCTCAGGATAGTATCCTTCAGCTACAGTCTCTCTGTTCTGGTCCCATGCTTCTCCTCTTTGTCTGAGGGAAACCTGATAACTCAATAGAAGTTAAAGATTGTAAGGAATTGGTGTGCACGTAGCAAACATCAGAGTTTACCGGGCTAATTGAAAAATCATAGCAGGTTTGTCTTACTTGAAGAAGTATTTCCAAATGTTTAATACCTAACTGTATTAGTCATTTGAAATCAGGAATTTTTATTCTGTCCTTAATCGTATAAAAATATTTGTTCTGCTTTCCACTTCCTGGAGCAAACAACAAGCAGGGACTCCTGCTTTGACATCCTCCCGAGCAGCGTTTCTGCAGTGTAGTGGTTATCACATTCGCCTAACACGGGAAAGGTCCTCAGTTTGAAATCAGGTGGAAACACTGGTGAGGCTGACTCTGGGAGTTGGACTCGATGATTTTCATGGGTTCCTTCCAACTCAAGATACCCTATGACATCAGCCAAAACAGTACAGTGTGTGTAGTCTTTTCTTCAGAAATTCATGTGGTAATGTGTCTGAAGCACACAGGCAGGCATGTGTGTGTGCAGCATACATGCACACTAAAAGAGGCAAAAATTTCTTCCTTCCTGTGGAGGAAGAAATGGGGGAAGCAACTACATAGTTTGCAGAGGAAGAAAAGCGGGCTACTCTGTTTCATTCAGTTCATGACATCCACTAGAATTGGGTCTCTGTTTTCAGCTCTCTGTTCTCTGTTTCAGGTGCTGGTAGAGCAGATGTCCAGTTTTTCTTCAGCTGAGATTGGCTGGAGCAATAGGGTAGTCACAGAGTTGTTTAAGCATTGTTCTACAGACAGGTGAAAGTTTTAAGAGAGGGACGTTGGCTTTTAACCTTTAAATTAAAATAAAAATCCTGCATAACTTGAAATTCGAAATTCACTGCTGTGGAAGGCCTTGTTATTTTTAGGGATAAAGAAAAACATCTGTATATGGGGTAACAAGCAGATTCTGTTTACATATAAATACGAATAAAAACGTAAGAAGAAACTTGCATCACGATATAACAGAAGGCTTGCTACTAAATGTTGGATTAGAAGTTATTTATCTCACAATGCAGGAAACCTGGCAGTGGTAAATGCATTCTTTACTATTGATTTATAAAATCATTTTTGATGCAAATACGTGTAGTGCCTTTATTTAAATGTGCCTTCAGTCTTTTCATGGTAATAGTTCCTCATGTGGCCATTACCATTAGGAAAATCTGTATCACCTGCAAGAAGTGGCTAATGTATTATGGATTTTTTAAATTGCCATTAACATTAATACAGATGCTGTGGTCATGAAAATTCCTTTTTATTTTAAAAAAGAAAAAAGCCAAGGAAACTTCAAACAATGAAAATCCTAACATGCAATATAGTATTCTCTAGACTGTTTTAAAGAGAGGCAGACTGTGATGGTATTAGGCACAACTGTTAATGTGATAAACATATTACCATCTGTGCTGATGCTACCTGGAAAAAACCCTGTTGTTTCCAAATGATCTGATGGTGCCAATACACACTCCTGGGAGCCGTGATAAAGCCTCACACACAAGTTGCGAGAGTGTGAGGTGAAGATGACTAATCTCAATTTCCAAAGCTGTTTGTAACAACTCCTGGGGAAAAAACAACCCCAAACCCACAACTGCTCTCTTCCTGGGACTTCTGTATCAAAGGCTACAACTAAAATGTCTGTGGATGTTCTTCAGAAATGTTTTCACCTCATCCAACCTGCAGTCCTACTGTGATAGGTCTGCTACAAATTCAGGTTAATGCTAACATGTCATAGTTGCTGCTATATAATAGTTTCCTCTTACAGAGCTTAATTGACCTAAGTGCTAACAGAATGGATCAAAGCTGTCTTCACAGACTGTTACGTACTACCACCATCTTTGTCAATATTACCAGCTTCTTGGCCACTACCAGCAGCAGGCAGCACTTACACAGCTGCAACGGCCCATGTGCAAATCTGGCCTGTGGATTTTAGGTAACACAAGCAAAAGAGATGGCATAGTTGCATTGGAGATAAGTAACTCAAGGTGACAGACTGAGCAGAATAAATTACTGAAGGATGTTTCAGTAGCTTTTTTCTGCTAAGATCCTGAGACCAGGCTGCTCAGTAGTCCAATGGCTGAGTACGCATGCCCTTGCCTAAGCTGGGAAAGCAGACAGTATTTCAGAGTAGATTTGAAACCATTTTTTTATAGGCTACAGAGCATATACTGATGGTCCAAACAATTTTTCAAATCTCCATTCAGGTCACTTAACTGTAGATCTAAGAAAGGTTCCAGTATCTGGAGCCTTGCTCACCTTTGGCTTCAAACAGCTGTAAAGTTAATACCAGAACCATGCTGGAAAATGGTCAATTTGTTTGGCATGCTGTAAATGAGATTGTTAGCAAATAGCGTGTTCCATTATGATTGCATCCTACCCCTTGTTCAAAGTCTTTGTGATTACTGAGCAAGCAGAAATGGCTGGGTTTGTTTTTTTTTCTTTCCCCTGTGTAATATACACACCTTTATTCTTACACAGAAATTCTGGAAGTTGTAGGGGAAAGGAAATGTGCTTCAACAGCATTTCACTTTCAAAATAAATCAGAGCAAAAGACTTAAGTACTAGTAGTCTTAATGTCTTTATTAACTACTGGTCATGAATATAATTTAAAAACATATTATTTGAGTTAATACAGCAAACTACTTGAGATTGTTGATGTTTGTTAGTCTTTAGGGTAACAATTTTTATTGGATTTTTAGTGTTCAGTAGTGTCATGTGATAGTAGATGTAGTTAGCTGTGAACCTTAAAAATAGTTCCTGTAAAGTGTTCAGCAGACTAGATTGCATAGTTTGAAGTCAGTGAAATGGTTCTGGACCAAGCCCAGGACAGAAATAAGTGTGCCAAGTCTACGGATGTGTTTTGTGCATGTGTGTGTTAATAGTTATGTGTAGCCTTACTGAAAGTATTGGGTAAAATAACTGTGACATGGGCTGGGAGTAGTGACTCTATAACCTTCTATCTTGTCTTTAAAATTTAGCTTACTTCTCATGGCACCGAAGGAAACCATCCTAATCAACTCAGAGAAGATGCAGTGGCCTCCTTTGCAGATGTGGGGTGGGTTGCTCAAGAAGAAGGTGAAGACTCTACAAGGCTCAGGTATACTCTTTGAACTTCTGAACTGAGCGGAAGAAGCCTAGCTTCTCTCTAATGAGAATCTACTATGCATTGCAATTAATGGAGAGGACTTGAACTCTGGGAGAAGAGAGAGGGAAGAGGGATAGAAAAGGTAGTGGTAGAGAGTAGACTAACAGGATTATAAATGAAAGACTCGACTGAGAACATACAGGCAATTGGCTTATACAAGGAAGACTGTGTTTTTTATTTACTTATTTATTGCAAAGGATTGCACGTGAGAGCTTCAAGCAACCTTGTCCCCACAAAAATGGCTGCTGCAGTACAGCACAATTGCTAACACTGATTCTTTTCCGGTTCTCCCGAGATTTTCATTAATATGGGGCAGTGTACTGTACAGCTTCCTAATTAGCAGCAATGGTCATTCTGACAATCCAGTAATTGGCATGTTGTTTTTCACCTTTCCGGTTAAGGCTCTGCAGTCTGCTAAAGACAATTAAAAAATTATGGTTTATATTTTTGTCTTTAATCTTCATTACGAAAACTGGCAGGGAAGCGTGTGAGCACCTGTGTCCAGAATGATGGGATAGGTACTATTGTGTTGGACCAGGAGTACTACATAGCACTGTAACTGCCTGAAACAGTTTGGCTGAAGAAGTTCTCTATTCCAGCCTACCCAAATTGCTGCTCAGACTAGCCAGAAACAAAGGTACAGTTCTGTAGCGCAGAGGAAGTTTTTCTTCTGAACAAACTAACCTTCCAGAGAAAGGCACAGCTTGTTGGCTTCAAAGATTACCGGAGGATACCGTTCTTAATTTGAAAGCACAAAAGAGGTTAGTAATGACCTAGATGCCCTCCAACATGACTTGCCACAGTGAAGCTTTGCATAACAAACATTCTGGCACTGCCACATTAATTTCACAGCCTCAGAGGGGAGTCACAGAAATCAACGCTTGCTTGGGAAACACTGTTTGTAAAGTGTATTTGAGACAAAGGAAATTAACTGGCCAATACTACTTTTGCTTGCACAGGAACATTTCATTCAAAGATTGAACTGTAAAGCTATTATGTTTAATGGAGACAACAGGGAGAATAGCTCTTTGTTGCTTCAAAGAACCTGTTACGAAAGATGTAGGACTTGCATATTTGCCGAGACCTCTGCATGTGAAGGGGGAAGGGGGACAGATGGATATGGGATGGAAGTAAAATAATCCTGCAGATATATAGTGACCTTAAGGCAAACAGCTTATAATGGAGCATGGTAAGTGAATTACTTAGCAAATATGAGTATTTCAATGTGCACCGTTTATTACGTCTATGCACAGAATTATGTAGTAGCGCTGGTATGCATTAGGTGTTTTCCAGGCATTTGAAATTCTCTGTTTCAACAAGATCACATAGGTGTTACTGTTAAACATAGATTCACTGTATAATTCAGTAAACAGTCTTGCAGACACAATTTTTTTTCTACAAATACAGTTTTATAGAGGAAACAACTAAATGACAAATCATTTTTCCCCTACCCCTAGTCACCCCAAGTGACAATTCAGGCATAATATTTTTCCAGTGTTAGATTCCAGTTGAGACATTTGCTTAAAACACCATTACTGCTCTGAGCTAAAAATACCCTTTGTTATTTAGCTATTCTGCTCTGTTAAAGAGTTTCTAGAAGGCAGGTTTTGAAGAGTGAAGTGACCACCGGCACCTTCCACCTTATTTATTTAGGGAGAGCAGGGAGATGGCTGCTAAAGGAAGCACCTGGTTCTCTTCTCAGCTTTAGTTGCTCTCTATTCCTGCCTAGATGATAGCACTTAAATTTTAACATCCTTGATAATATTTGATTTTGCCTGATCAAAATTCTGCAAGTTGTGCTGATGTCTTCTGTCAGTGTGGTGGAAGACTCAAATGCATACCTCACTCTTGGATTGAGGGGGTCAGAGCACAGGGCTTGTTCTAGACTTAAATCTTGGCTCTTGCTTTAAGCCTAGCACAACAGCAGATGTGCATCCAGAGTAGCTTAACGCATGCATACAGGGCAATGGGGCTCTTGTGCTGTATTTGTCTGGAGCCATTCCCCACATTTGGAAAAGTCATATCACTAGCCACTGTTCTAACTCTCATGTTCAAATAAATCCTGGAATCCTGAGAAGTTTGGGGATTGAAGTTAAGGAGGATTGAGGAGTTAAGTATGTGGTTATATTTTGCAGTTATCATGTTTATGATAATCTATTGTCATTAATCCCTATCAATTCTACTTGAGATATACTGTTTAAAAATGTTGGTGTCTTCAGTGAATATAACCTTTTCTAAGTGCTTATTTGGCTGCAGATGCTCAGTAATGCCTCAGTGTTTTAACATGGCTTGAGCTTTGGTGGGTAATAAAGGAAGGCAACACAGTTGCATTTTCTTGCTCTTGTAAGAAAGAAGAGGGAAGCTTATGGACTCTTTAAAAGCTGTAGGAAGTTTTCTTCTCTATGGTTTTATTTATTGCATTAGAAAACTAAATGTGAGACCCTTTCCTATTTACTAATAAGCAGCCTCTGTGCCACTAAGCCGTTTCACATACTCCATACTCCCAACACTGCTAAAATGGAGGACTGTCCCTTCAGAAGTCCAAAAAGTACAAAAATGTGCTGTGGAACTAAGAAACTCTTCCTTCTTTAAAGGAATCAACTACAAGTGACTGTTTGCAGCCCACTGGGGAAAAATGGTAGCATTTGGGAAAAAAGTACAGTAGGTATGAGGCAGAGAAATAGATTGGGGGTGAGGGGGAATGTATTCCTTTTTTCTCCTGAAATCAAGGATTCCACAAAAAGCTCACTAGGGGAAGAGAAGAAATACAGCTCATGCAAATGGAAAGGATGTGATGCTCTTGTTTACTTTAAGCTGTATAAAGTCTTGGTGGAAGTGCTTTGTGAAAAGCCAATTTTAAAGCCTTCAACTTGTATTCCTGGTTTGTATGTAACACTGCTTTAGTTTTTATCTATAACAAAGCCTTTAAAAAAGGAATCTTGTGGTATTTTTGTTACAGGTCAGAAGTTTGGTCAAAAACAGCCCAGCCTCTTTCAGGTGAACTACATCGTTCTGGAAAGTCCCCATGCAGACAGATGTCCTTACAAAACCCATTGGAAGAAGAACCAGCATCCAGAAGCATAGTGACCGCAAATGAAGAAGCTCTGCAGAAGATTAGTGCTCTAGAAAATGAACTAGCCACTCTAAGAGCACAAATAGCCAAAATTGTAATCTTGCAAGAACAACAGAACCTGACAGCAGGTATTAAATTTGCTGTATTCTTAGCACAAATTAAGTTAATTAATTTGTCCCTTTCATAACAAATAATGTGCTAATTCATTTTTGTGCGATACAGCAACACTGAGTGCTTCTCCATGTTCTTTTGGTTAGTTTGGTAGACAGACACAGCTTACTAACCAAGGGATACAGAATAGGTCTTGAAGAGACCTGCCAGATTTTCTGTATTTTCTAGTATTCCAAAAGTCTTTGTGTTTGTGTGAAAGTCTGCCAGAATTCTGAATCTGTGGATAAGTAAAGTAGTATTAAACAGCTTTCAGAGCAAAGCTTACGATAAACATGATGGATTAAACCAAACTAAAAGAATGTAACTTAATTGCTAACGCTTAAGTCTTCCCATCCAGTAATGAAATAGGCACTCTGATATCATGAAGTAAACACACAAGATGCTTTTATGCCTTTGGAATACATAATACACATCTCAAGTTTATGGAATAAGCAACAGAAAAAGAGATCAGTCATTTACTGGAATAATTTCTGGAGTCAAGCACATTGTCCAGATGGAACCAGAAGTGGTGCACTGCTTCTGGTAGTAACCAGAATAGTAGTTCTTTTCCTGAGTCTTTTTCTCATCTCCCCTCACCTCTGACTGCCTTCCAGTTCTAAGTCTGCCATCTCCAAAGATTAGTGGGAGGTGACCCTTGTCGATTGGAGATGACAGCCATTTGGTTTTCACTCCTTCCTAGGGTCACTTAGCAAGTACAGTTTTTTCCTGTGTTTATGTATAAAATCATATTCTAATTCTTCAGATGCTCTTTTTTAGTTTTTGTCTGTGACCTGTCAACAGTTACTTTCTTTTTCCTTAACTCCTCATTTTCAAAACTATGAAACAGTTTTAAGGATCACATATTTTCACTCCTAAATTGTAATTATTATGGTGGTTTTGTGAAACAACTAATAACTTATTTTTCATCGTTTTCACTTTACTGCTATGTATTAGGAAAATTAAATTTTGATTTTATTTTATCATCTTTACCTCCCTCTTCTGGTAGAATATGGTAACGGCACTGTGTGCATGCCTACAAGTACACAGGGCAGACTCCTCTATTATCTATATACGTATCCTTACACACTTTATACTCCAAGTCTCAGAACTCTGGTTTGATGTGGTTTTACTGATTTCTTTAAAGCTGCATTTGAGCAGAGGTTTCTTCATTTATTTGTCAAGTTATTTCTGTTGTTATAACATCAGTTTTTACCCAAAGAGTATGGGGAACTTGAAGTCAAGATTATTGTGAGAATCTCTATCTTCAGACAGATGATTAGCTGGCCTAAAAATCCTTAACCTGCAGAGCTGGAATAAGCTTCACTTTAAGCACTGTTTGAGCTCTGGAATTTAAATTTAAAAATCTTGTATAGTAATTTCTTATTTGTGATGATAAGCAAGAAGAAACACTGCTCATGTGGCAGATGCGTATGACTTCCAGCTCAGTACCTGCCTCTTGGAAGAAAGTGAAGTACTGGTAATATTAGGAGCAGAACATAACTAAAAGATGTCCTGACATCCATCCCATTGCAATAAAGACATGAATGCACCTAGAATTTGAACTGGAAATTCAAAGAATGCTTCTCATTCTTCACGAAGCATTTTTATATGGCTTTTCAGCCGAGTCTACTTAGGTGGTTTAGGAATGAAGAAGTTATGGGATAATCTAAAGGTGGCAGAGGGGAGGCAATTGAAGCTATTATAGTCATGTTCTTACCTGAGCAGTTGGGAGATATAAAGGGGATTTATATGTAAACTGATGTGTAACACATGTTTTATTTGTAGTTGGGTCAAATCCAGTTGCTTCAGCTGCTGTCCCTGTTGCACCTCCACCACCACCACCTCCTCCTCCGCCACCACTCCCTCCCCCAGGTCTACAACGGAGTACATCAGCAATTGAGCTCATTAAAGAAAGGAAAAACAAAAAAACAAACTCTGGACAGAATCTGACAGAAAATGGGCCAAAGAAGCCTGAAATACCAAACATGCTAGAAATCCTCAAAGACATGAACAGTGTGAAACTACGCTCAGTGAAAAGGTAATAAACATAAATATCAATGTATTAACATTTGCATTAATGATTTGTTTTTATGAGTCAGAACTATTTCAAAGTGAGACAGATGCTGATGCAACATCTGACAAACAGAATGCAAAAGCATTTGCAGCTTCTAAAGCTTTGTTTTGGACTATGTTAATGCTTCTCATTTTCTTTTCTAGATCAACAGAAGGTACAAAATCTAAAGTGGCTGACCCAACAGATCCTGCGGCATTAATAGCAGAAGCGCTCAAAAAGAAATTTGCCTATCGATACCAAAATGATAGCCAAAGTGAAACAGAAAAAGTGATTCCAAAGACTGAAACAAAGACAAAGACTGAGGTAGTGCTGGTGAGTATTGTGATTCTGAATAAGTGCTTGGACCAAATTGTAGTTGTCGTGAAAGCCAACATATGTCTTCCTGCCAACATACGCAAATACCTACAGTTACCATCCCTGTCCACAAGACCCTATGAAGTACTGCTGATAGGCCAGGTTTGTGGCAATCATACATTTTTAGTATCGAGTTTTAAGATTGTGTACTCTTTTGGTCCTAGGTTTAAAAAGCCATGTTAGAGTTTTCTTTTTTTTTTTAAATTTTTTTTAAAGCAAAATCTTTTCTGCTGCCACAAGCATGTGATAATTCAAAATCTCAGTTCTTAAGGGCTCGTACCAGAAAAAAATCTGAACTGAGTGTGCCTGCGCTTACCAACATTAACCATTCAGGTGGTGCACATGAAATTCCAAAGCAAGATCCTGAAACATGTCAGCCATTCCTAGAGTGCAAATTGTTCAGAATGTCTGCTGGATCTTGGTATAGGGAGTTTCTTCTAATAATTGGAAATGCTGAGTAAATAAAAGCATTATTTTTGTAGTGCGAGAGTGTTCAAATGAAATTATAGTTAAAATTCACATCATGGTACAAGTTAATGGCTTCTGGTTTATTTCAGATTGATGTGAAATTGAAGTAAGGGGGTTTTAAGCTGTCAGTGTTGAAGATGCAATTTTCTAGCAAGATACACTTAGTTAAAAAACAGGCTAGTATAGATCGGTTTTGTTAGCAAGCAGTCCTTGAAGCCTTGTGCTATAGAACCAGACAGGTAAAGAGTTATTTTTCCCTTTGTGTGTTTGGGAAAATGCACATAAAACTCCAAAGAGCTGGCTGAACTCTGAATTAAGTTCTGAGGAAAATAAGATTCCCAAACCACAAATCTCAGGACTTGTGAGTACTTCAGCTTATTAATGTTGACTAATGTGTCCTTCTGGTCTAGGCCTTTAAGGTATATTCCTGTGGTGTTCAGGCTGTTCTTCGTAACTAAAAGGCTAGGTATGCCCCAAGAGTCAATCACTTTTCCTTCCCCCCTGGCATCTCTGGGGCTTTAAGGAAAAGAATGTGGGTTGGCAACGTTTTATTCACACATGAGTTTTTCATGACTTTCCAGTCTTGAAATTTACAGTCTGTCTTTTGAGAGTAAGAATCATCAAGTCCTCAAAAGCTTAAGAAAATGGAAGGGTTTTTTAAATGATAGAATGCTAGGCCAAGATGAGCTAATAAACATCTGTCATCAGTTACTTATCAATATGTAACTACTTTGCTAGATCAGTGCTCCTATTGTGTCCTTGTAGGATAGAGTTTTTAAAAGGATTTCCACAAAAATACAGGATAGAGGGAGAACAGAAATACTGTTAAACTGCCGCTAGAGCAATTGGTTGTCAACTTCTAAAGATAACTGGATCTGTTGTCTTTATTTCCCTGTGGTAGAGTGAACTATCTCTAGTCAGAACTGCTCCAGCAGATGGTTAGCTGCCTCAGCTGAGTGATGTCAGCTGATTGCTGACACAAGTTTCCCTTTACTTTTTGCGGCTATGAAGTGGGTGGAATCTACATGCAGAGAAGCAGGTGGATAGAGGAAATTATATCTCTGCCCGAGTTCTAGTTTTACTTACAACTTGGATGGGTAATAGTTCACAACTAGTTTTCTGTTGAAAGCAATCTGAGTATGTTTCTGGTTTCCTTCTCAGTTTGGACCACACATGCTGAAGTCTACAGGAAAAATGAAGACTTTAATTGAAAAATCTTAATACATTAAGATCACTACACAAAAGACTGTTAAGCTGTTCTGTCTGAAATCTTTCATGTTGCAAATAGCACTAGTACCGAGTGGTCTCTTACAATGCAGGAAACACCTAATGTAAAATGTAGAATTGAGGCACTAAACGTTGTTTGTATGTGATTCATCAAGGGGAATAAATTTGGCCATTGTACTCAGGTATTAATTTTGTATTCAAACCTGGCTTTCTACTCAGACTTACGTGGTGGTTTTAGTTTATTAACACTAAGTTATATATGCAACATTCTTTGTGCGTAACTGACCACCTTAAAAATTTGTGTACATGTTAATAATTATAGTGATACACCCTTAAGTTAATATCATTTATTTGAGCTCTAACTATAACTTGCACTACAATGTTTAGTTTGATACTGAATTTTTCATGTTGAAGCCTTTCTTTTAAACTTAATTTTAGCAAATTTTTAGCCCAAAGAAAACCCGAACACATTCTGCTTCCTACTGAAAGAAAGTAAAAACTTAAATTTGCTGCAGAGGTCACCTGGTATGAGACGTTTTAAGTAGTAGCACATTTTTGTGCAGGGTTGGGGTTTTTTTGTTTGTTTCAACTGAGCTTGCAAGGGTAAGAGAGCAAAACCTGCTTGTATCATCCTGTGGCCAACATACAGAGTGCATGACAAGTGAGTAAATCACGCTGTGGGAGCCTCTGTGACTAGGCAGTCCAATGAATTTGAAATAACCAGTAGATAGCAGCAGAGTGAAATAATTACTGTCAGAGTATGTGTTAACTAGCATAGAAGTGGTGTAGATGAGCTTGCAAGGGTAAGAGAGCAAAACCTGCTTGTATCATCCTGTGGCCAACATACAGAGTGCATGACAAGTGAGTAAATCACGCTGTGGGAGCCTCTGTGACTAGGCAGTCCAATGAATTTGAAATAACCAGTAGATAGCAGCAGAGTGAAATAATTACTGTCAGAGTATGTGTTAACTAGCATAGAAGTGGTGGAAAAAAGGGGGGGGGGGGAAAAAAAAAAAAAAGAGAGTACTGTGGGGTGCAAGTTGCCAAAAGTATATTGCTCATCTTGGCTGTGCTAAGAGATGCTCATGGACACCTTTTTATCCCCAGCTGTCTTGGGTCCCTGGATGGGTTTCTAGCAGTTGGGGACTGGACAAGCCTTCATGGTCCTACTTGCAGGGAAGAGATGGCGTAAGCTGTTGCACATAACCAGTTTTCCAGGGGAAGCCCTTCTGGGGATTTCCCACAGCAGCTATTTGCTGCCAGACCTGGACAGAGCTAATTCATTAATGAACCACCTCAGCTCATGTCTCCAGCCACAGATGTAGAAAGGGCTCAAGCTAAAAATAAAATTCAGTTTGGAAAAAAAGCTCCTTAGGAACCAGAGCTACAACTTAGCTGTGCTCTTAAACGAAGCCAAGGTTTGCTCTGACTGTAGACGAGCAGGGAAAAACTCAGTCTGGGTGTTTCAGCGTTCTAAGTTGATCTGGCTGCTGGAACAAGTACAAGTGCCTCTTGGAGCTTCTGTTTTCTAGGAAAAGAAGAAAGCAGCACTTCTTAAATAAAGACAGGCGAACGGCTCTGACTAGGTTACTGAAGATGACCGAAGCTTTGCTGCTTATAACTGGAATATAGATTATACGATCAAGGAGGATGTTTTCTGGTGTGAAACTTGAAATGGTGTTAAAATGTATGCAAATGTCCTTCCAAACTCTCTGCCATCAGTCTCACTGACAGGCCACTAAATCTCTGTGTTCTTTTAAAAGCCTTTAAAACACCTTTTTGAAAGTTAATTTTGGTTTCAAGTTTTGTATTTAATGCTCTATTGCCACTATATAAAATTAAAAGCAGTTAAAATAAACGTTGTGCATGTGATTCCTGTGAGGAAGCAGGGATTACAACCCTGCACTTCAAGAGAGCTAACTTTGGGATTCTTCCAAGTAGGTCCTTGAAGAGGCCATGGGTTCGGGCTCTAGAAGGTAGGGGGGTCCAGGAGAGCTGGCGAATACTCAAGCATCGCTTCCTCCAAGCTCAAGATCAATGTATCCCTATGAGGAGGAACTCAAGCAAAGGGGGCAGGAGACCTGCATGGATGAGCAACGGAGCTTCTGGCAAAACTCAAATGGAAGAAGGGAGTTTACGGAATGTAGAAAAAGGGACCATCCACTTGCGAGGAATATGGGAATTTGTCAGAGTATTCAGGGATACGGTGAGGAAGGCAAAGGTCCACTTGGAATTAAACCTGGCAAGGTACGTCAAGGACAACAAGAAGGGCTTCTTCAAACACACTAGTAGCAAAAGGAAGCCTGGGGAAAATGTGGGCCCACTGCTGAATGAGGTGGGCGCCCTGGTGACAGAGGATACAGAGAAGGCGGAGTTACTGAATGCTGCCTTTGCTTCAGTCGTTACTGCTAAGGCCAGCCCTCAGGAATCCTAGACCCTTGAGGCAGGTGAGAAAGTCTGGAGAAGGGAAGATTTTTCCTTTGGTCATGGAGGATCAGGTTAGAGATCATTTAGACAAACTGGACACCCATAAATTCACGGGTCCCAATCGGATGCACCCATGAGTGCTGAGGGAGCTGGTGGATGTTATTGCTAAGCCACTCGCCATCATCTTTGAAATGTCCTGGAGAACAGGAGAGGTGCCTGAGGACTGGAGGAAAGCCAGTGGCACTCTACAAAAATGGCAAGAAGGAAGACCCAGGAAACTACAGGCCAGTCAGCTTCACCGCTGTCCCTGGAAAGGTAATGTAACAGCTCATTCTGGATGTCATCTCTAAGCACATGGAGGAAAGGTTATCAGGAGTAGTCAGCATGGATTCACCAAGGGGAAATCATGTTTGATGAATCTGATAGCCTTCTGTGATGGCATGGCTGGCTGGGTAGGTAAGGGGAGAGCTGTGGATGTTGTCTACCTTGACTTCAGCAAGGCTTTTGATGCTGTCTCCCGTAACTTTCCCATAGATAAGCTCAGGAAGCATGGGTTGGATGAGTGGTCAATGAGATGGATTGAGAACTGGCTGAATGGCAGAGCTCAGAGGCTTGTGATCATCAGTGCAGAGCCCAGCAGTGTTCCCCAGGGGTCAGTACTGGGTCCAGTCTCTTTCAACTCATCGGTGACCTGGATGAAGGGACAGTGTACCCTTAGCAAGTCTGCTGCTGATACAAACCCAGGAGGAGCGGCTGGTACACCAGACAGCTGTGCTACTGCTCAGCAAGACCTAGACAGGCTGGAGGTAGGTGGGGAGGAGCCTAATGAAGTTCAACAAAGGCAAGCATAGGGTCCTGCACCTGGTGAGGAATAACCCCACGCACCAGTACAGGTTAGGGGTTGACCTGCTGGAAAGCAGCTCTGTGGCTAAGGACCTGGGAGTCCTGGTGGGCAAGAAGTTAACCATGAGCCAGCCATTTACCCTTGTGGCCAAGAATGCCAATGGTATCCTGGGGGGTGTTAGGAAGCATGTGGCCAGTAGGTGGAGGGAGGTGATCCTGCTCCTCTGGTCTGCCCTGGTGAGGCCACATGGGGAGTGCTGGATCTGGTTCTGGGCTCCCCAGTTCAAGATGGACAAGGAACTACTGGAGAGAGCCCAGCAGAGGGCTATGAAGATGATGAGGGGCCTGGAGCATCTCTCTCAGGAGGAAAGGCTGAGAGAGCTGGGTCTGTTTAGCCTGGAGGAGACTGAGAAGGGGATCTTATACAAATACCTTAAGGGCAGGTGTCAGGAGGATGGGGCCAGACTCTTCAGTGGTGCCCAGCAACAAAATTAGGGGTAATGGGCACAAACTGAAACACTGGGAGTTCCACCTGAATATGAGGAAGAACCTCTTTACTTTGAGGGTGACGGAGCACTGGCACAGGCTGCCCAGGGGGGTTGTGGAGTCTCCTTCTCTGGAGATATTCAAAGCCCACCTGGACATGATCCTGTGTCACCTGTGATTCTGTGACTTGTGGTACTCGACAAACGATAGAAGCCAGATAGCAGCCACGATAAAATGTAGTTTACATTTGTACTGTAGTGACTATAAATCAATGTAGTGACTACTTGCATCTCCTTCAGGACTGGACTACTTACCTTGCTGTGCAGCAGGAGTAACGGAATTAGTCATAGAACAGCAGAGCGCTGTTAATTCAGTTACACTCAGATTAAAAAAAAAAATTACCAAGAACCAGCAAGAAGTTTACGCCTCACCACAAACTTAGCAGGAAGGTACTCGTTTAACAGGCTTTCCACCCCCTCGTACACTGGGTGCCCCTGACAGTCCCTTGGTGGGGCACAGCCACCCCACCCCCCCCAAAGGGGCACCACTTCACAACGGCTGTCCCAGAAAACCTGCTTCTTCCTCGCCTTCTCTCAGAGACAAAACCTCTGCTGAAAGTGTTTCACCTACTTCATTCAAATTCTGACATCTGCAGTAATTATTTAACTGGACTGAGGTACATTAACTGCAAAATTCAGGACATCACTGTGGGGGGGGGGGGGGTACGGGACATGACAGGACAACAACAACAACAAAACATTTACAGTTTGAACTGCTGATGTGAGGTGTGGGTATCCAGCACCCCAGAAATACAAAAACATGTGGCAAGCCTCATTAGTGAGGTAAAATTACGGTAGAAGAAACGACACCAGCACAAGAAAATAAAATCACAAAGCTGCCATCAAATAAATCATTTCATACTTTTCTGTACCTTAATTTGTATCTTTCGACTGGAAGTCTTTCACATGCACGAGACCACTGCCCACAGAAAAGCATCCCGAGCAGAAGTGCTCAAACTAAGGACATCCACGCACCCTGGGCAGAGACCTCAGGCGCAGCCCAAGGCCTGTTTGGTTCTGTCTGCACGCGTTAGCGGCTGGGACGGCCCACGGGGAGCAGAGCTGTGGGTCGCTCAACAATTTACGGTGAGGACCTGGCCCCCATCCCCTAACACATTTCTGGACTCACGTGGGCCGACGGGCTGTTAGCGGTGGCAGGACATTGGGTACGCTCCTGGCACGCGTACGCTGCGCTCGGCTTTCACGTGAAATGTTTGAGCTGTAGGAATGCTGAAGTTCCGCGTGGATTTCCAGAAGGCATTTCTGGAGAGCATGTTCGAGAAGAGGCGTTAATTTTTTTTGTCTTTTTAATTCAGTCAACTGTCACAAGCTTCCACGTACACTAATAGGTGGGATTGGAACCAGCCTTTCTAAATCCAGTCTTGTAGCAAAAGACAGAAGCCCCTTTCCGGGAAAGGTGGCTTGGAACAAAATTACTTGTGTTTTACTCCAACATCTTGACAGGCTGTACTGGTTCCTGTCAGAGCAGATCGATCTTGCTGACACTAAGATTGCACAAAGTTCAGGAATCAAAGGTTGTTTATAAACATGACATTGAAATATGACTCTATGCATATTTGTAAATGCATTCGTTTTAATTTTCATTTAAATGCACATTAAAATGTGCTTATAATAGCCTGTAACCAGCAGCAAAATTTATACTGCTGTTGAGGCCCTGACCACTTTTAAAAAAAATGGGACTCACAGAAGACATCATCAGATATGTGGTTGTTTTGAAAATATGCTGGAATATGCTTTATTCAGAAAAAAAACCCCAAAACCCTAAGAGGAATCAATACTTTTCCACGCTTAACCCTACGAATCTGCACAGGCTGTCAGGCAGCTGAGCTGCAGTCTCCCTGTGGTCACGCAGTTACTCACACGCAGCCGGTACCGCTTTGTCCCGCCAGCTCCAAACACCACGGGCAGGCGTCGCACCCTTTCAGAGACCGACCTGTTAAAATAAGGCTTTTCTGTTACTCCAAGTCACAACCAGAGCTCGTTGTTCACATTTGGTCCTTCTCCGCTGAAGCCAGACAACAGCAAGAACTTGCACTGACAGCAAAGGAAGGAAGTTCACGCAGGTGCAAAAAAGTGGTTTCATTATAAATTTATTTCTTTAAACATGGCCACTTCGAGATTAGTGATACTACTCCAGGGAACATGAAAGAATAATAAACAACTTAATGTTAGAAGGGAAACAATCGGGTACGTCAGGATTTGCTTTTCAAACCAAAAAAGGCCAAGCTCCAAGAGGCAATCAATTTTGGCGTATGAGGACTAGTATTTTCAAATCCAAAAGTTGGCTTAGTTTTACCGTGGAAGCTGACTGCAGCCTTAGCTACCTTTCCGTAATGCTGGACTCGGTCGTAACTTAAATGTACAGGAGCATAATGTGAAAAGATCTTTTTTATTAATTAAAAGTTAACAGCAACAGGCACATATTAAAATGAATATGGCAAAGCCTTTACAAATGGCTTTACGCTGAAGCTGTCTCCCAAAAATGGCTGTTGCAACAAACTGTAAACAGAATTAATAAACAGTCTTTTACAATAATAACAGGGAAATACAAATGAACTAAAAGAAAGCACCAGTTTCTCAAACTAGATTACAGTTGTGCTTACTGTACTTAAAACAATGTAAAACAAATTACAAAAATGGAATGTTGTAAGTTTAAAATTAGTCCTTCAATTTTGTCCTAAAAAACATTTTCTCCTTTTCCCATCAAAAACCCGTTAGTGGGTATCGTTTCAGTAGAGGGAGGAATACGTAAACAATGCACTTTTTTATTATTATTATTTTTCAAATCAAAAACAAATTTGGTCACTTAGCTTTGTGCATAGTTTAAGGCATCTGTAGCAATTTGTTACAGTTTCCTCCCCAGTGTGGCTGTTCATGAAATTGTCACATTCTAAAAGAATTGCAGCGAAAGGGGCATTTGTACCCTTGTTCTGAAGGACACGCTTCCCATCCCACTTTATTTCAGATTGGCAAATACCCTGAGCTGGTTATGGTGTTTTTAGACATTCCACCTTTTTCTTGCATGTGCAGTTCAAGTGTACAATAGTGAAAACAACATGCGATGTTTCCACTGCAGAATCGCAATGCAGTTCGGACGCTTCCCCACCCCACCCCCACCCCCTTCCCTTCCCAAATTCAGAAGTGTTTTCCACCATTAAAAAAATTGCATTCCCATGTAGCACTGGAGTAAAGCTTGGCTGTGCTCTGTGATGAACGCTCAGTTCCCAGTGCACAAACAAAATTATGGCAAATGGGAGGCTTTTCTGGCATCCAAAGAAACAAGAGCTGCAGTCTCAGATTTGATCTTTTTCTTTTAAAAAAGCAAAAAAAAAAAAACCCCACCCCAAAAAACCCAAGTTAGTGGTTCCTTCACAGCCATGCGCAAAGGTTAAGTCTAGAACCAATAGTTTCAGAGTACATTTGTAAACATCGAGTCTTGCCAGAGGCAGCAGAGGATGGGCACTTCACATTTCCGTATTAAAACAGGGACTGAGTGGAAGGTATGCTTTGAACACATTTATGCAAGTCTTGCTAAATTCCAAGGAAGTGGAACGATCCATCTCAAGATTTGAAGACCGTGTTCCAAGTTTCACCAAAAAAAAAAAAACCAAAACCCCACCCCTAAAACCGTGTGGCACAACGAAGCTTCCGTACTGTTCCTTCGAGGCTCAGTCACTGCTGTGCTTTGCATATTCAAGGTTCCAAACGAAAACCAACTGAGGCGTGTGCATATTGCTCTATGTTCAGATCTTGCAGTTTAAAAAAATTCTGGTTCAAATGGTCTGTGTCAAAGGAAAACTTGGAAATAAATAATGCTGGCATCATTTTACCGTTTCACCAAAACCTTGGGCAGGGAAGTTCTCTCCTTTAATCCAACCGTGCAGATACCAAGAGAAGAGGCAGTTTTGTCATGAAGATTGAGGTCAGGACAATCGAGGTTCCTGAGGTAATATGTCTGAGTCCATTTCCTCAAAAGCGGGGTCAACATCGTCACCGCTGCCAGACTGTTCCCTCTGCACTCCCTTCCAGCTAGCCTTGTTCAGTCCCAGGTGGCCAAGCATTGTCTGCGACAGCCTGGTGTTTGAGAACCGGGCCCATTCCCCAAACAGCGGCTCCACCAAGTAGGTCATAAAACCTTTGAAAACAAGCAAGCAAACATATCCAAGTGAAAAAAAAAAAAAAAAAAAAAAAAAGAAACAGGGGGAAAATACCCCACTCAAATGAAACATTTTAAGTGAAATTTAGTAGCAAAAAATAACGCATCAGACTGTTCTTCTCCCTTGTACATTTAAAAACTCGTTGCAATATTTAGGGCATTTTTACAAAGTAATCTCTCAAGATGTAAAAGGTTTTACTGGTCGGTCAAAAGAACAGCATTATATTGGACTACAAATTAACCTCCTTTCTTTCACAAGAATGGCCAAATAAAGGAAAACATTGGAGAACCTGGGGGGCAGAATCTGAACATTGGCAACTAAGCCACACAAACTACTTCAGAAAACCTAAATTTCTAAACGACAGATTTTGTAACAAATTACCCCGTAGACAGTCTGAGCTATATTACACGGGGGGGGGACGACGGGACCCCAAACATTCTTTTCACAATATTAATCTGATTACAAATACTAAAAAATACAAATCAGAGATATCTTTAAACAAAAAGGCCACAGGACATCAACATACAAACATTTATATACGTTTGTGTGTATGCGCATGTGCACTTATTTGTAGCGCCTATTTCCATGAACCAAAAATTCAGTGGTAAGAATACCAAAACTGAATCTGTCAGTTACAGAAATGTATGATTTTCTCACATTCTAAATTGAACCCGTGCAGCTGATTAAACAGCTTAGGGTTTTGTCTCTAATTTCAAGCACTAATTCATATTATGTTTGTGAAATTGATTATTTTCTTTACTCTGTTTTTAACTGAATTCCATTCAATCTACATGAACAACTTCATTAAAAAAAACCCTATAAAATGTCAGCCCTTTTGCTATTTTAAATTCAACTCAAGTTAGCAAAAAGAAATCATATAATGGCTACTCATGGTTCTCCCCACGCGCACAGAGCATGTCTAACCTCTAGGAAATGTATTTAAAAGGTACTTTTTTCAAATTGCATCCTGAAAGACATCTACTGAAATAAATCGAACTGCAGTTACCAATCTGGATGTTGGCAATAGTTTCTGTCTGTCGGTCACAAAGTGGACTCACACCCAAGTGATATTTTTTTTCAATATCTCCTAAAGAAATAAAAGTATAACACAGCTATTAAGTCATCAAGTCCAGACCCAAATGGAATCACCGAACACTGACAGAGGCGAGTTGCAAAAGTTGCTTAACAGGGGCTGTAACCTCGCAGCAGGCTGAATGCATTGACTTCCCTCCCCCACCTCCCCCAAAAACCCAGGTAGGTCTGTCAGTGAGACTAACAGTACTCTGTATTTTTCAGCAAACAATAATTACAGACAAAACAGGTTTCCTGAGGGATTAATGCAGTTCCTTGCAAAACCTCCCAGACTGCCCTAGAAATGACAAATTAAGATCCCCCTTTAGCAATATGGAGGAGAATAGCTTAGCCCTCAGAAACTTCTCACTGAAGGCAATTTGTTGTTCTGCTTCCCCACCACCTTTACCTAAGAATAAGCTTCACGTGATTAGTGCCAGATAAAGCAGCCTGTTTCCCCATTTACCGTATCCATGCACAAATTAGTGTGTCTCAAGTCAGCTAAACGAGCCTTAAGAAAGGCGAAGCATACTTTATTTTATTATTAAAACAATTTAACAATAATGGAGAAAATTCACTCCATTTGCCAATTAAAAGCTTTATTAACTGCTTACCTAAGTCAGTAGCCTTCACTGCACAGTAACAAAAAAATCTCCTCCCTAGCTCTTACCGGCATGCCAACAGGCCTCACAGCCAAAGTTTAAATATTGAAGATACATGATGAATGTATTTCATCATTTACTGAAACCACTAGCTAAATGTAAAGTGAGCATAACCATTCACCTGAAGCACCTTTCAGGCTGAAGGATCTATTGAACCAGCCATTCTAGGTCCAGATTCTAAGCAGATTCTTTGTTGGGTTTTAGTAACTCCGACCTTTTGCAAGAAGTACAACCCATGAGTGTAAAAAAAAAAAAAGTCCCCTACTGTACTGTAAATCTCTATTAGTCCTAAATATAAATCCCTGTATTTGCAAGCAGCTGACTCACAGTCGCTCTCCCCACAACGGTATAAATACATTCTGTACCAACAGATACTTCTACTCTTACTTGCCTTGATGGAAGAACTCCTCTGTTACTTTTTCACTCCACTGCTTACTCAGCTCCCACGTCCGACATGGATTACAAATATCAGCACACTTCAAAGCCATCTAGTAAGTTAAGATACAGCATTAGATCACCTCTCCCTCCAACAGAAGCATCTGTAATTATTTGTTTCCTGACAGCAGATTATTTTAAGTTTTGCGAATAACAAACCTACCTACCATTTGTGCTTCTCTCTGAAGTAATGTTCTATAATCATATTTAAAAAACACTCAGGGAGCTATCAGATCTCACGATCATCTCTGAGTAATATGGAAATTCAGTCAAGTCAAAGTATTTCGGGGCACTATATTTAGCATATTCACTAGTACAGGAGACAACAATAAATTCAGAAAAAGAAGCATCAAAGTAAGCAAACAGTATTTTGCATTTCTGGCTCTGAAGTTCACATTTTTAACAATGGTTTGCACAGGACTGAACGTGTATGTTCGTCCACTTTCTTTTATAGTCCACAAAATGAACCTAATAATAAAAATTTCTATAAACCTAAAGAGACTCTCAAGGCTTTTGTTTTTGAAGCTTGCTAAACCTCTCTCCAGCACAGCTGCAAACTGAGTCACAACAGCAGCGCTTTGCTTTCCTGAAACAGGTTCTGACAAAGCATTTCGCAGTTCTGAGACTGCACTGAAGTCATCAGAAGAACGAAACCTTGTCTTGGCCAGACTTACCAACACACACCACCACTTGGGAGAAGTGCTGGGAGGGGGGAAGATTAAAGTGGAGGGAACAATGTTTTTGTAATGACTAAAAGATATTTCTACTTCATTCTGAAAGTAGGAGATGGTCTGGAAGAAGTAATATTTAGCATCTTAAGTAAATTATTTTTGATACTAAAATGATGTTTTCAAAAATATTACCAAGAAGATCACCTGTAAAATGAAGTGACGATGGTTCGCATTCTCTAAACATAGGTCTCCTCTATCCAAATGGGATCGAAACATGGACAGGTACTCATTTTGCTGACTGATGTCTGTGGCAAGAATGAGATCACCTATCTGGCTTTCCATCAGCTGCCTGAAATTAGTGATAACAAACGTTCAAAAAGCGTAACAATGAATAAAAACCGCCATCACAATTTACATGTCTCTATCATATTCATTATTGTGCAAATACAAGCCTTATAATCAGCATTTCCACTGAACTGTTTCTTTTTTTCGTTTTCTGAAAAATTCCTACAACATTCATAGAAATATCAGAATGTTTCACTGGCAGCTTTCAGAAATACTAGAACTGTTCTTAGCTTCCCCCCCCCCTTTTTTTTTCTTAAAAATGCACAAAGTAATTCTTTAAAGCTTATTTCTTGTTAAAGTAGGTGAAGAAGGTCTATTTTAAACTACAGTTGTGGTGGCAGAATGAGAAAAGGCTGCCAAGTTTAATCTATAAACAGGTGCTTGACTATATGAATACACTTCCTCAGCGTGCTTGCAGTAAATGTTATTTTCCGAATATCACATTGCACCATGAAGTGCTCCATACCAACAGCATGGTATCCAGGAATTCTTAAAATGGATCACAATGTACGTTTTGTATTCAGAAGTGCCATGCAATAATTTAGCTTGTTTTGCAAGGCTGTCTCACTTAAGTGACAGCATGCTTAAACCTTAAACCGACCGATACTGTTTTGTGTAAACATACCTGTTTTCTAATGACATGTGTGCAAATAAACCAGACTCTCTCAGCAACCCCACTGCTGATCTCCAGTGATGGTTCTCCAATACTGAGGTATTCTGTGAATGAAAAGGGTATTACAGGGATCGATCAATGACTTTTAAACTGAAGAGCTATACACTAACAGCAATACCAGGCAGTTTCGTTGGGTTTTGGGGGTGGTATCTGTCTGTCTTACTTTTTTTCCAAGGAGGTTAAAACTCACAAATCCTGAATACTTTATTAGCTTGCACATTTTTTTATCCCACTGAGATGAAACAATGTCTGGATTCAAAGATGCCACTAGCTAAACACATCACAACTTATACTCCTTGTCTGTACTCCTCAGGCCTTCTCCAAACCTGGCTTTAACAAAACAACCAATTTTGTCCTTACCTTATATAAAGTTGCTAAGTAATGGTTTGTTTTAATTAGGAAAGGTTGGTTAACGCCTGGGTGATCCAAATCATGTGTGGCAGCTGCTATTAAACTGAGCAGAACATCCCATGGAGTTAAAGATCTGGAAAGCTGTAAGATAACAGCAACAAACGTAATTCTGTTAGCAATGCAAGTATGCCCTTAGAAAAAGTGCATAGGTATCACATTTTTGTTCTTCTTTTTCAGTAATTAAAAGCCAACAGAAACTCAGAAAATTTTAATAATGTAAAACTAACATTCCACTGACTTTTCACAGCATTTTCCCCCCAAAAGCTACAAAATTTCAACAATAGTTGAAGCATTATTCTTTCTGAACAGGAAGGTTCAGTCTTAAAAAATGCTGGCACAAAAAATGCTACTTTCTGGCTAGTAATGAAGTACTATTTCTAACCAGATCCTGTAAAAACAGCAAATTCTTAAAATTAGCTCTCCATCTCATTTACCAAGTCTGTCTGTAGGTGTCAATTCTGCTTTAAATACAGGGTATATCTTAAAAAACATAAAAACCTTTCATCTTCAAATGAAGAAACTAATGCTCTGGAAGACTCTAGAACCGTTCAGAATGGATTTCTACTCTTATGCAAAATTATATTGCAAAGTCTACCAGGAAAAGAACCGAAGGAAGAAAATCTGCCCAAACCAAATATTTTCAAGATATATGTGCACACCAATTAACTCAGCATGGAACTGCACAGACTTATTTTCACTGTTCATAGCTGTTACTACTTCTGGCTGGGAGGTCTGTGAGTTAAAACCCTGTAATGAGGTCTAGCTTGCACTAAAATGGATGGGACAGCTCTGCCTGCCCAAAAGTGAAACGCAGCAAACACCCTGCAAGGATAGAAGTTTATACTCCCTGTTGCATTTGCCATCTATCATGCCTCACATGTTTATAATGTACTTAGGTGCAACAGAACCAGTAGCTGTATACGTTACTAAAAATACAAAGTCTATACTTGTATGTGAAGCATTACAAAATTTCCATCACGAGTATTAAATAAAAAATGCTCAGAGCTTCCAAACTGCATACCATAAAAAAAGCTCATCATGTATCAGCTCTGATTTGGCTCACTGCACCAACAATTGATCTGAGAGCAGCACTGAGAAACTGAGTGGGAGGAGTGGGCAAAGAGCCTCTGAAAAACATCCAGGGAGGCAGAACTTACTTGTTTTTACCTCAGAAACAGAATAAAGAGCTATGCTCTTCAAAAGAATACCAGATTAAGCGATAATCTGCATCAAGCTAGACAACTTCTCACCTGGCTAGAGAGCACTACAGTTTTCAATTTAATACAGAAGGACAGGATTTAGCCCTGAAATTATCTCAGACATCACTTAGAGCAGACTGCCAGCAGTCCAAGAAACACACACTCAGCTTTAAGGTCTGTCACTCTGCCCTTTTTTAGAAAGAAAGGCCAAAGAGAACTCCTGATGCCTTGCTCTAAGGTGCCTCTAGCAGGAGCATATTATTCATTATTATCAAAGATGAGCAAAGCAAGGGTAACAGTAGCTTCTGGAGGAAAAAAACCCCAACCACCAAACAAAAAGACCCCCCCAAACCATGAATACACAGGTTTATTATTGCCAGCTCCGACTTGGGCTGTGATTCTATGTAAATGTCTTGGGGCACAGCGCGATGTTCAACAGCTGCAGTCTTAATCAATTCCCTGCTCTGGTTCAGCATGAAGTCACTCAAAAGACAATGCCAGCTCAGAAGGGGGGGAAAAAAGAAAAGCATGCTGCTAAGTGTGAACCCACAGCCTCAGCTACATGGAGATTCCTCCCCCGCCTTTTCGTGCTCAGAAAGTGTTTTTTGTTGGATTTGGGGGGTTGTTTTTAATAAAAAGCATGAGCATATATACATACATGTATATACGTGCCCACGATCCATTTATACACACACAAATACATGTATTTCTGTATGTACGTATGATGTAAAAGTGAGACCGCTCCCTTACCTTGGGCTCTTTTAAGTAACAGTGCATGGCCTGAGTCACATCAGCAGCATGAACTGCATTATGATAAGGGTTTTGACTGTGATAATCTTCTTGAACCATAACTGCAGGAAAATAACAAATATCCAAATTTAAATAAAATAGCAATTTTTTTCAAGTACCATTTTTTATGTCCTTATTAGGCACAGAAATATGCAATATCACAAGTTACATACACATAAAAGCGTCAAAGTCAATAAATTGTCAGTTGAACCGAGACCCAGGTAGAAAAGATTTTTATGTGAAGAAGCAGTATTTTCTAAAGGAGATCAACTACATGTGAAGTCACCTCAGAGCAAAAATTAAACAACCCAAAATCAATATATAATCTGAGATACTTTGACTTTGAGAACTTCATAGGAAAGAGCTCCCTTTCATAATCTAGCCTGCCTGAACATTGAGGCAACCTGGAATACAAAATGAAGATGGTACTATTTACCAAAGCATCAGGATGACTTCATATCATGCCTTGAAAACAGACAGGATCAGAGGAACTAGGCACTGCTTTCCTGTCATATGAAGTGCTTTCCTTTCCCCTTCAGAAGAGTGATCATGGGAAGCCACCTCTACATAGTTTAGGCATCTTCTCGTACTTGTACCCAGGCAAATTTAAGCCTATAGGCAATTTAGAAAAGAATCTCATTTAGATGATGGTCTGACTAACCCCTCCTAGATTTAATATTCCCTATTTAACATCTTCCTTGCTTTCCTCCTCTTTTCTCCATCCTCCTGCTGCCTTTAAACTTGTAGGTAGAATACTTTAAAGGACATGCGCATTAGCTTGAGTATGTAGAGTAAAAGAACTATAGCTTTAAAAAGGATGGAGGGGGAGAAGATCTGAAGCACAGCAATCAAGCTATACACTAAAGTTTTGCCTGATACGACACATTAGCTCTTTCAAGCAAACCTCAAAAGAACATTTCCCTGGCTGACTACAGCCTGTCAGTCCCGTTCAAACAAACATGCCCACAACCCCTCTTCGTACTCAGTTTACAAGCCAGTACCCTCCACCTAATTGTGGCTGTAATGTTAAAGCATTACTGCCATGGTATTTGTGAAGAGCTGTGGCTCATGAAAAGTCAAAATACTGTAACCATCATGTAATCTCAATAGTACCTAATGCATAGCTGGCACCTCATATGGAAAATAACAAAAATAAGCATCTTCAGGCTCTATTGACCTGCAGCAGAACTCCCTTTCACTATTCCTCACATCCAGTGCATGAATTAGGATGTCCTTGACTTTTTTGTGGTTGACCCAGCTACCTGAAGTCTACAATTTTCTTATTTATTTTAATAGAGCATACCTAGGACAGTATTGGGGGTTGGACTAGATGACCTCTAAGGGTCCCTTTCAACCCAAAACATCCTATGATTCTATGATTTTGATCACAGCTTGCCAGAACTAGAATGGCACAACAACCCAATGCTTCCAGGTACTTTGGATTTTCTCTCCCCCTGTTCAGGTCTGGAATAAGAACTTGAAAACACACAGTAGGAGGAGACAGATCTCCAAGTAACCTTTGGAAATCACAGAAAGACTGTGTATGTGTATAAACAAATATATACACACACACAGGTGATATATATACACACAAAACCAAAAGGTTGAGAGCCTACTGAGGACTAAAATCAGATTTCTCTCCTTAAAAAGATTCCAGTAAGTTCTCAAATGAAGTGAATTTTGTGTGGCACTATGGACCACTTGAGCTGGCCTAGCCTTCTGGAATTTGATCTTCAGATTACTTTGGATTAGGGTGTAAGAGGTAGCAAAAGAAAAGAATGAATCGGGATCGTGCTAAGATGCTGTATTTGGAAGAAAGGTTCCTCGACTGGACAGATAGGCTAGGTCAAAGCTAAGAAATGTTTTTCTTGCTGCTATTAAGTAGAAGGCATTAATGAAAAGGGGAAAGCGGTGAATTTCAAAGCTAGAATAAAATTTTGCCTTCTTCCAAGTCTAATCTCATTTTAGTGATTTATGACTTGGAGTAGTCCTATGTAGTTAAGCCTATTGCTGTCTTTTGATAACTGTTTAACTAATCCAGCCACTCCTAACTGGTCTTTCATTTCTAGTACTGTCTTTTGCTATATCTCAGCTAACCGGGAAATAAGCAAGGTGAGAAAGACAAAACGCAGTTACAACTTGAGTAGCCCTAGACCAGATTTCCATAATAATTTTTTTTCACATTCCAGTATATCAGTCCTCAAAGTCAGCTGATCTACTTTTCTGACACTGGAAGGAATCGAGTCCACTTTAGAACAACATGAAATGCAAGACAGAACTGAAATTTTTTAAAGCTGAAAGAACTAAATGCTGAAAACAAAAGCATTCCCTTATTCAAAAGGGGAGAAAAGCCTTCCAAATGTGGTTTCTCCTGTGTTAAATGACAAGCTTTGTAACCACAGAATTGTTTTCTTTGAAACTGTGAAAGCCTGCTAAAAGGGACCAGAAATTTGTTTCTCCTGTTTAGTTAAAAAAAAAGCATCCCACTCCACAAAATTCAGTAAAAGGTATTGTCACAGAAGAACCAAAGGAATGAAGTCTCACACCAGCGTCTGTGTCTATGGTATGGGGGTGCAGAAAGACAGCTCCTTCAGCTGTCAAGTGAAAGTACCACTTGGTTTGAATGTTCTACATCATATTTACAATTATTTTTGTTGAAGCACTCCACTGCCACCAGCCCAAACATTTGAGTAAAATGGTCTTGCGCGGTGTCTATGGAGAACATATGCCCACACAGTACAGTGCTTACTTGTAGGAGAGTTTGAGCAAGAGGTAGCACCAAATTGGTACCACTAAGCATGGCCAAGCCAGCATGTTCAATACAGTTAGGAAACGATATAATGAACTTCAGAAATCAAGATAAAAGAGAACTGAAAAATCAAAACAAATAAAGGAGCTGTCTAGCCCTTCCCAATAAAAATGTCACACAATGTCACAAATATTCCTGGTTGTTTAGATTTAATAAATACAATACAGCATCTGCTACAAAACTACTAAGCTTGGTAATACTTGCTTGGATTTAACATGGGGATTTCTATACTTGTAGAAACTTTGAGAGATTGTCTCAATCAATACAATTTAAATCACTGCACTCTTCAAACCTTATTGCTAAACTATAACCAGCACTTCAGTTAAGGTATAAAAAATGCGGATAAACAGCAATATTCATCATAATAAAAAGCTGTATTTACCCAAAAATCTACGAAGTTTCATCGTATCTAACTGGAAGTGTTCAATTAGTCCATGAAGATTAAACAGATGAAAGGTTAAGCTGACTAGACTGTTTCCTAAAAATAAGATGAAAATACTAATTCATTGGAAGCCATGAAATCAGTGACTCTTTCATAAGAAATGTATTATTTCAAACAAATTGGTCACAAAAATTATACAAGCAAATTTCTCTACACCAATTTATGATAAAATATTTAAATCTTACTGCATGACAAGATTCCATTAGCTATCTCCTCTAGTAATCACCAGTGGTTTTGCGCAATTATAACGCATTCACTGATTGTCCACTGTCAACTGTTAAGAGGAAAACGTTACTGAACATTAAAAAGCAACAGGTCTGAATGTGCAAACCTGTTACAACGGTATTCAATTTTGTGGTATGTTGCATCATTATTTTTATAAACAGACATACAGTTTAAAACCGAATACAAAAAGGAAAGGAAAGAGCTAACCAACACTATCAATTAGTGTACATTGCACATATGCTATCTCTCATTTTCATCTTGTATTTTGCTAAACTACTCCTTATTTCACCAAGAACTCAAAGCAAAAGTTTTAAGTTTCTCGAGGAAATATATACTATTACAAGCTTAAAATATACTTCATCTACTCATAGCGGTAATACTACAATCACATGCGGTGGTAAAACAAGCAAAACTGTAAGAGAAAGAAATAGCTTGCAAACGTTTACTTGAAATAGCTTGCTTATTTACTCTGCAAACAGTAGGTAATGGCAGATAGCTCAGTTCTGGTGCATTGGCTCTGACAATCTTCAGGAATTTACCTAGCACAGACAGAAACTGAGCTACAAAAGGATGAAAACTTTTGCTAAATCTGGCTCACTGCTAGGCTTGAGGCACTTGCATACGCACACCACCTTCTCGCAACAAGATACACAGTTCTTCAAACAACATTTACTGGGTAGCTTGTTTCTTACAGGCGCATTCAGGGCAGTTCATCAAGCAGAGCTTTATACACAGCATTCTCCCCTTATAAACTTTCAAGAACAAGAGAGCCTGTTCAAAATACCCTCCTAAACTGACTAAATTAGGGCGCAAGGAAGATGGTATAGAAAGGCTCCCACAATAGAAGCTGTACTAGTAGTATCAAAAATGCAATTGAAAAAAGCATATTTAAAAAGTAGAGAAGGCCTCATATAAAAAGGATGATTTCCGATTACTCCCATCTGATATAAACTCTGCTTACAAACAGGTTAACTTGCACACATAGCTTTTTTTCATTGTTAACTAGTCTCAAGTTTATCTATCTATATAAACATTTTATTTGTAAAAATCCTCACAGTTCTTATTTTTTATATCCATTTCTGTATTAAATCAAACTGTGGGGATACTACTTTTTTTTTTTACACTAGATTAAGCCAAGTATCCCTTCAATAAACAGGAGAGAAAATTATCTTTTGGTGCCATAATCTTCCTTTCTAAACTTCATTTATGTTTCTTTCTGCCAACTTTAAACACTAACTCCATCTCTGCTACCAACTCCATTTGAATGCCGTAAAACCTGCAAGAGCTGCCCTCCATTCGCTTCCCACGCTCCCTCAAATGTCTCCGCGATGCTGGACTTGCTCATCTCCTCCTTCCATTCTATTCGAAACTCATCTTCTGTTGCTGTGATTAGAATACAAAACTTCACCATACCCACTGCAGCAGCCTTCCCTTCTCCTTTACAGTACATTTACAGATCTCTTTTTCTGTCTGTCCATAGCTTAAAACGATACTTCATTTGATTTTTTTTTAAACCAATTCTGTAGTTCCTACTGCTATTTGTAATGGGTGCAATAAACTAACCATAACATCCTCTTAATGTTTGTATTTTGTGCAAGCTATGCATACAGCAACTTCTGTCTGCTCAACTCCTAATTCTCTAGGTATTCTATTATATGTCATAATTATAACACATTCATACCAACATGCCTTATTATTATACCGCAAAGTAATAGAACTACTCTATCTAACATTAAATTTATCAGAAAAATCCCTGTTCAATATAAATGAGCTTTTGGACACAACCATATAAATTACTAGCATCCCATAATTAAAAACAAGACTAAGGTAGCAAAATTATTTGTTAATTTTTCAAATTACTAAGAGAGAACAGCAACCTATAAAGTACAAGAAGAGTCTCTTCTACAAATCAATGATTATTATCAATACTGACAGTAACGGTATTTTAACAGTGACCAGGCAAACTAAGATTTAGATTAAGGACTATTAAATCAAAAAGTACTACTTGATGAAATCTGTGCTTTTTAGCAACCAAGCAATCACATACCACAATGAAGAGCAATAGTTAAGTTATGCTAAGAGATAAAACACAAATGAAATAGCAAAAGTAAACTCACCATTTGTCAGTCTATCAAAAAGAAAAATATCAAAATTCCAATTTCCAACCTTCTCCAGCATACACTGAAAGAAAACACAAGAGCTGTCACTTTTTTCTCAGTATATGCCTATCTTCCCATATTCCAAAGGAATATTTAAGTTTTCAGAGACCGATGTACGTCTTAGGATTTCTATTTACAAAACCAGTAATAAAATAGTAATTAAATTTGTCTGGTAACTGGAAAACTTCAAAATACATGTTGCAAATTGAAAAAATGAAATACAAGAAGTGTTTTGACAGTACTGGCTTGAGAATTTTCCCTTCATCCTTTAGCCAATTACTTAAAAGAAATAAAATTTAAAACAATTAGGTTTAAAACAGAAAGAGTATGACGGAATGACTCTGTGTTCAGACTTCTTCCACTTTTCATTTTTGCAATGAGCTAGCAGGTAATCTCCGTGTAGTCCTTCACCTCAGTTTCTCTCCCTTGTTGTTTATAGAACAGAAATAATATCTAGATGCTTTACTAGACATACGAGCCAAGCTTTTAATTTCTTTTTTAAGAAACTGGTTTTGTGCCTTTCCACCTCCCTGAATGAGCACTTCTTCCCAGCTGCTCCACGCGAACTCTTCTTCCAGCAACAGGGATGAACAAGAGCAGCAAACAGCACTCGAGGCCTCGCCCAAGGTCACCAGGCGCCATCCTTCCTTCCCTTACCTCTATCAGAAGTACCTGCCCAGCACGTTTTACAACGGATACTTGCCTTCTCCTATTCTCATTAGGCTGGTAGAGCTCTTCCGTGATACAATTACTACATTCTACCTTTTCTCCACCAGCCACTAAAACTCAGCTGCCAGAAGAAACAAACAGCATTAACGAGACCTTTTGGCTGTTTAATTAGATGTACAGTTTTTCAAATCCATCCTCCAGGTTATTAGGTTCCTCCCACACTGCAGCCCAATTATGTGCCATATGGATTCATTGCCTTATAAGTGTGCTCCTTTTCTGCATCAAGGCTATGAACAAGAAGCTTTACGCACAATCATTAAGACCACACAGCCTTTGAGACCTTGAAAAACCTGCAAACTTCCCCTGCTTGTTCCCCTTCAGCTCTGTCCATCCTCTGTCCCCAATTCACTACCCCTTCAGCCAACCGTTCTTCTAGCACTACCCATCTTCCCAGTAATGCTTTACTGCAGCGTGGGTATCTCGGGGCAACCACACTGTTCATTTCTAGAATTGCCTACCAAAGAAAATGTCAGTTTGGCATAATAATCTTCTGATAAATCCATCTATGCATTTCATTGAGTTTTCAGCAGTAGTTGGTCACTCTTCCAGACGTTCAGTAATGAGGGTAGACTAAAAAGGAAAAGGGAGGGGGCGTAATAGTTGTCCAAAATGCTCCATTATGTTTCTTAAATACAGTTATACTTTTCTTTCTTCACTTTTTCTTCAGCTATTACAGTGCATCCTCCATTCACTAGAGTTGTTAGAAAACCTGCTAGCCATAATAAGCTCTAAAAATTATCCCAGTAAACTTGTGGGAGGTAAAGGAGTTTGTTAGAAACCAGGTAATTTTGTCTGGACTTTATTAAGAGATAGACATATATACACACACACAAACACACACATACGTATAAAAAATACATACATAAAGTTTGTATTTGGTGGCACTGTTAACATAAAATAGTTATATACTAGCAAGCTTTTTTAAAAACATACTTAAAAAAAAATCAAGCAACCAACCTTTGCTTGTCCATTATAATCATCATCTAAAATGTTTGAAGAATTTGGAACAGTGATACCACGGAAAAAACGGGAAGATCTCAGGTATCGCTGGAAACTAAGCAACCTTCTCACATTTCTCGCAGACACAGACACCTCGATTTCAGAATTTGCTACAAAAAACAAGAAAATAAATACTCTCTCTAATAAACTTTATTTTTAAAAAAAATAAAAAAGTCTGTTGAGGGAAGTTTGGTACAACAAAGGCGCTGAAATTTATTTTATTTTATTTTTGTTAATAGGAAGTACAGAGCCATGGCTTAGAAAAGAAAGTTTTCTGTGTAAGCAGCCTGTAAAGAAAAACAAATATTTAAGTCATAGCTGAAACTTGTCTTTTTAAGGAACTCTGTTACTGAAAGGACAGAAATATGGAAATTGTGTAAAAGCACACACAGTATTGCAAATCAGTTCTTTTTGGAAAAGTGCTCTCCTGTACGCACATCCAACCTGTGCCCCTAGCAAATCACATAAGATATACACACCAGCAAGAGAATATCAGCAATTGTGTGTTGACACAGGAGTTACAAGTAGGTTTTAAGCACGTACAAATAACTTTCACATAGATTTTAAAGCTCAGAAATTCTCTTTAACTTTACCGGCAAAGTGATTTTGGTGCTTTTGCAGGCAACTATGCTCAGAACCTCTCCTCTGCCAAACGAGTACCACATTTACTTTCACAGCACCTGTAATTCCCTTTGCCAGTACAACGAAAACACTACAGAAAATTGGTTTAGCCTGTTAGCGAAGATTCATCCGAATATTTTGCTATACTCTCATTGGGTTAAATGGTTTAGCTATCCAAATGACTGATGCTAGCTTATGTTCAATTCTACTTGATATACTTGAAGTGTTTTAGAAACCTGAAGATCAAACCACACATAGCTACAGTTTCTTTGCAATGGGCCAAATATTTACATTCCAAAATACTTGATGCCAAACTTGGCCTTCACTTTCTTTTCAGCAGTACCCCCAACAGCAGTTTTATATAACCAACAGCCAGTCAGTAATCTTGATATTCGCTCATTCTACCCAAAATGACTCATGCTTAAAAGAGAAAGAAAAAAGAAAAAAGGTATTAAGGAAGTCAATGAAACATGCTCTTTTCTAAAAATGCAGATCCTCAAAAACAACACGAACCCACCTTTGTAGTATAGATCTCTTGCCCTCCCAAGAACAAGGCATATGAGAAATTGGTGAAGTAAGCAGTTAGAATTTTTGTCCTTAAAGTCACTCTAAAATATTGCACAGGGGAAGGTGTGACCTTATTAACAACCTCAATTAAAAACCTCGGTGGTTTCTAGTGAAAGGAGTTTAATTCTACGTAATATAAATCTTTATCCATATAAATTCTTCTCCCTGCAGAAGTTCCAGCATCCTTTCTGTTCTATGTTAACTCATTAATAGATTAATTTCCAACCTATACTAATAAAATGCCTCTGAACAGTACTGACAATTGCACGAACATACAATATCTAATCAAATGCAGCAGCATTTCACATCAGTCTGTGCTAAAGCAGGTCAAATTGACAAAACTGGAATATTCTTTCACACGTGCCCGAAACACACCAAGAAACTGAAGTTCCCATCAGCTTCAAAAGGCTAACACAGACAACTTCACACGAAATACCTTTCCTCAAGTCATCGTAATTAAGGCCAAGGGCACTTCCTCTGAACACACTGGTACATATAGATATAGATAGATAGATAGTCTATCTATCCCAGTTACCTAAGCAGTTGTACTACATAGGATAAAGGTTGCTTATAAAGCAACATTCACACATACAGCAGGCAAATAAATAGATTCTGTCATGCTGCATTATGGTACCAATATTTCTAATCACATTTGTTAACATGAGGTTACAGTCTGAGCGCTGCCAGCCTGCAGAACAGAGAAGCAGGGAGCAATGCAGCTGCTCCTGTCAGCAGAGCGCAGATTTCGGGTAAGAGGTCTTAAAATGCAAATTTCAGAAGAGAAGTCATTATGTTTGAAGTAAAGTAATATAAACCGGGTATATTTAGGTCATAAAATGATTAAAATGTCCACAGAGTGACATACAAAATCCAGGAACTTCATTAAATCTCAGTAAAATGAGATACTTTAAGTAGGAGAAATCAGCACTCTTCTGGAAGTACACATAGTTTGCTTGATTGCAAGTCAGTCTTTCACAGACCTATAGTTAACAAAATCCTAGTTTTGTTGTTATGCTACAAATAAATCTCACTGTTACAGATGCCACCCGTTAACCTTCAGTGGAAGAGTATGATGTAGGTAATACACATAAAACAACAGCTTTTGTCAGCAAAGTGCGCAACAGAACACAAATGCAATAATTTGGCAGCACAGGCCTGCATTCAACCTATATTTGTGTTCATAAGTCATTGGGGGGGGGTTGCACATGTTTTTGCTTCAGTATTTTTCTGACGATGATGTGGATACACAGGCAAATGAATTACTCAGTTTTCTGTGAAGCTGAACAGTCATTACCCTTTACTTTGCAATATGCTATTGAGACATTCATCTTCAAATTTTTTTTTAAACTCTCTAAATTATCGTCAGTTTGTATAGTTCGTAAACCACTACTCTTACACATTAATACTTCTTTCTCTCCCCCTTATTAAAAAAAAAAAGTATAGAAGAAAAAAAAACAAAGAAAAGAGCACTATTCCAGCTGATGTAATTCAAACAAACAACAAAGCCTACTTCATTCCAGCTTTCCTGGCAGCAACACTGCTATTACAGAATACAGAACAGTTGAGCTAGGAAAGGACCTCTGGAGGTCACCTGGTCAAACTCTCTGCTCAAGCAGGGCAACCTAGAGCACATTGCCCTGGCCCATTTCCAGGTGGCTTTTGAATATCTCCAAGGATGGAGACTCCACAACCTCCTTGGGCAACCTGTGCCAGGGCTTGGTCACCCTCACAGTGAAAAAGTGTCTCCCTCTGTTCAGAGAACCTCCTGTGTTTCAGTTTGTGCCCATTGCTTCTGGTCCTGGCACTGGGCACCACTGGAAAAGCCTGGCTCCGTCCTATTTGCAACCTCCCTTCAGGTGTTTATGTACATCAACAGGATTCCCCCCAAGCCTTCTCATCTCCAAGCTGAACAGTCCCAGCCCTCCCAGCCTTTCCTCATCAGCCCCTTCATCATCTCCCTGACCCTTTGCTGGACTCTCTCTAGGACATCCATCTCTCTTGTGTACTTGGGGAGCCCAGACCTGGACCCAGCACACCAGGTGCTGAATAAAGGGGCAGGATCACCTCCCTCCGCCTGCTGGCAGTGCTCCTCCCAGTGCAGCCCAGGATACCATTAGACGCCTTTGCTGCAAGGGCATGGGGCTGGCTCACGTCCAATCTGGTGTCCACCAGAACCCCCAGGTCCTTCTCTCCAAGCTGCTTTCCAGCTGGTCAGCCCCCAACCTGTGCTGGTGCCTGGTGCTGTTCCTCCCCAGGGGCAGGGCGCTTTGTGCTTCCCTTTGAACTACTATTTATTCCACATGTATTACCTAACTTGGGCCATAACAGCTTGACCAAACGTCATATCATTTAGATCTGCAATGATCAGAATAACTTCCAAAGGAGAAAGGAGATTTTGAGCACTGCCAGACCTCTGCAGTTCCAGAACACCTAATTCAGGGGTGCTATACCAACCCAAAAAGTAAATTGCGCTCTCTTTAATAGCTAAACGTTTGCTACGGGACAATTCAGAATAGATGAGTCAGATGTGGAGGTTTGACAGGTAATTAATTTAAAAAGGAGGCTGAAAAAGAAAATAGCTAGCTTTCAAGGAAGGCGGGGAGGGGGGGGGAAGATTAAAAAAAAAAAAAAAAAAAAAAAAAGAAGATAGGTTCTTCAGCTGCAAGAACACTGATAGCATCCATGCTTGCAGTTTCCTTTTCTTCACAGATAAACTATTACGAAGGATACAAAAATCAACAGCTTTGTGGTTCTGGCAGACCAGCAAAGACAAGTCCGATGGAAGGACTGGTAAACTGAATGGTACTGTTGTGCAATGGAAACTTGGTATTTCCCTCCTGGCAGAAGCAGAAAGCTCATTCCCTTTATATGCATGATTAATGAGAGAACATCAGCCTACCCTCTTCTATCATGAGTCACGAAAAGAGATGCTAATTTCAGAGACCCTACCGAAGAAAGTTTCAATAATGTATTTATAATGGAAAGAAGGTGAAGAGTGCATTACACAGCTCAAGAAAAAGCATGCTGCAAAAACATCCCTTCTCCCAGCCCAAACGGCCTTCATTTCATTTGGAGCTTGCAGCGTTCTAAATGCCTTTCCAATATCCAATAGTGACCATTTGCTCTTAAGAGATAAGGACAGTTTAAGCACAAATAAGAACAAGAAAATAAACAAACATATACGACATTTACAGTCTTGAGAATGGAAACGGAGTCAAAGCCAAGTCAGAATGTTGGGTACGTTAAGGAGGAAGCTACCGCATTCACAAGTGCCTTCCATGTGAGGAACCAGAAGACTGAAACTGCAGACCTCTGTCTGTGCCCAGCCAACAGCAGCCCTCCTGCAACATTCTTCTTCCCTTCTTAACTCTTCACGCCCTACTTAAAGTTGGAATATCACCCAAAGTATCTGTCACTTCCAAATTGTATTTTTATTAAAATGATTATGTTCTTGTTTCTAAGCATCTTGAGATGCTCATATAATAAACAATGCCTTTCTCCAAAATAAAAAAGAAAAAAGGAATAATTGTTTACTAACACCAGTTATTTTGCTAATGCTATGCATATACAGCAAGAAAATAAAATAATGCAAGTTTTCTTCGCGCAGCAGATTTCATCTGTATTCCAAGACACTTATTTTAATCTCTCTTCCCACTCTCAATCTTTTAAGTGTTGTGTACTTCATGAAAACCTAAAAAAAATTTTATCACATTTCACAGGGATATTAAATATTTATTTTTCTCACGCTGAAATAAAAATACAAAATAAGTAAAGACAAGTGACAATCACTTACAAAATCCTAATATACTGATATATTTAGTCCCAGAATCTTTGCGTCTTTCGTATAGCAAGGACAGACAACAAAAGGAAGAATGACAACTAATTATAGTTTAGTTTAACTTTTTATTAATAGAAAACTTAA